TTATTGGATCTTAAAAGGTGTCAGACTCTCCAGAAAAGTGTAAGAGAAGGAGATTCTCTACAGAATGCAAATTTCCCCCAAAGAGATGGCTTTGCAGGACTATCTTAAAGTGTGTCAAAGAAAATATATTATGGGGTAAAATACTATGATTTCCTTCAGGGACTGCTATCTGTCACGTGATGCTATATCAGAGTCTGTTGGAGTTGGGTATCTTACTGATACAGAAAGCCTGTTTTGTCAGTCTTATGACCTGTATTCTAATGCTAATGTTGGTCAGCTGTGCCTAAACTCTGACGGGAGGAGAGTAGGACAAGTTATGTCCGATCCCCTCCTTCCCGTCATGACCTGAATTAGTTTTTCATGTTTATTTCGGATCCTGTTGGCCAACAGGGGAGTCCATTCAGTCAGTTGTGGGGGCTTAGAATTTTATTTTTGGTTTACAATTAAAATGTCAATTTTCAAACATGGGATCATAAGGACAATGTTTCATCACAATTTTTTGGTGAAATCTAACAGTGTTCTTGCCCAGTTGTTTCATAAAAACTGGTAAGGAAAAGACTAAAAATAAATTCTTCTGAGGCCAGGCACAGTGGCTCACACCTGTAATCCCAGAACGTTGGGAGGTCGAGGTGGGTGGATCATGAGGTCAGGAGATCAAGACCATCCTGGCCAACATGGTGAAACCCCAACTCTACTAAAACACAAAAAATCAGCTGGGTGTGGTAGTGCACCCCTGTAGTCCCAGCTACTTGGGAGGCTGAGGCAGGGGAATCACTTGAACCTGGGAAGTGGAGATTGCAGTAAGTGGAGATCACGCCACTACACTCCAGCCTGGCAACAGAGCAAGACTCCATCTCAAAATAAAAATAAAAAAATAAATAATTCTGTTAACCTAGAATATTCTCTCCACAAATTCAGAAAATAAAACAATTTTATTACTGAATAAGCATTAAACCAGACTGTGATGCCCATCACAGGTGATCCATTAATGAGATGCAAAGAGAAATAAAGCCTTTTTTTTTTTTTTTTTTTTAGACAGAGTCTCGCTCTGTCGCCCAGGCTGGAGTGCAGTGGTGCGATCTCAGCTCACTGTAACCTCTGCCTCCCCCGTTTAAGCGATTCTCCTGCCTCAGCATCCCAAGTAACTGGGACTACAGGCACGTGCCACAATGCCTGGCTAATTTTTTTGTATTTTTAGTAGGGACGGGGTCTCGTCATGTTAGCTAGGATGGCCTCGAAATCCTGACCTTGTAATTCGCCCGCCTAGGCCTCCCAAAGTGCTAGGATTATAGGCGTGAGCCATGGCGTCTGGCCAAAGCCTCCTTTTTATATAGCCTGGCAGATACAATCCATTGCATACATGCTTTCAAGATAAACAGTAACTCATCCTCATGTAAAAGGACTTGCTATGCATTTTTTTTTTTTTTTTTTTTTGAGACAGGGTCTCATTCTGTCATCCAGGCTGGAGTGTAGTGGTATGATCTTGGCTCACTGTAACCTCCATCTCCTGGGTTCAGGTGATTCTCATGCCTACGCCTCCCGAGTAGCTGGAATTACAGACATGTGCCATCATGCCCAGCTAATATTGGTATTTTAGTAGAGACAGAGTTTCACCATCTTGGCCAGGCTGGACTCAAACTCCTTTCGATTTCTGTGTGGCATCAAGTGATCCGCCCGTCTCAGCCTCCCCCAGAGTACTGGGATTACAGGTGTGAGCCACTGCGCCTGGCCTGCTATGCATTCTTAAACACTCATCCTAAATCCACCTGGAAATCAAGGTGGCCATCCATGCTAGTTAATTACCTGTATCCGATGAAAAAATAAAACTTCTCATACCTCCTTGACGAGCAGGTAGTAACAGTTCAAGGTGCCTAGGCTAAAATCCCTAGGCAACAGGAAGATAGGGACACTACCTTCCTTGAGGTTTACATTTCAAAGACAAGACTCTCAGGCTCTTAAGAAAAAAATTCCTGGGTCGTGACCCAGAGTGGTGGCTCATGCCTGTAATCCCAGCACTTTGGGAGGCCAAGGCGGTTGGATCGCCAAAGTCAGGAGTTCAAGACCAACCAGACCAACAAGGTGAAACCCCGTCTCTACTAAAAATACAAAAATTAGCCAGGCATGGTGGCAGGCGCCTGTAGTCTCAGCTACTCAGGAGGTTGAGATGGGAGAATTGCTTGAACCCGGGAAGGGGAGGTTGCAGTGAGCAGAGACCGCACCACTGCACTCCAGCCTAAGTGACAGAGCAAGATTCTGTCTCCAACAACAACAACAAAAAATTCCTGGGTTGTAATGTTGGCAAGAAGTTCATTTACATTTTTAAAAGATTTAGATACATATCAAAGGCACAAAATAAGTTATTTATATTACAAGGTTTATCAAGGAAATACTCTTTGAGAGGAGAAAAGGTTAATTTACTTTTTGGTCAAATAAGATAAATTTAATTTTTTTTTTTTTAGAAAATCCATACAGTGAGGGCTGGGCATGGCGGTTCACATCTGTAGTCCCAGCACTTTGGGAGGCCAAGGCAGGCGGATTGCTTGAGACCAGGAGTTCGAAACCAGCCTGGGCAACATGGCTACTACAAGTACAAAAATGAGCTGGGCATGGTGGTTTGTGCCTATTGTCCCAGCTGCTCTGGAGGCTGAGGCACAAGAACCGCTTGAACGTGGGAGGCAGAGGTTGCAGTGAGCTGAGATTGAGCCATTACAATCCACCGTGGACAAGAGCGAGACTCTGTCTCAAAAAATAAAAAACAAAAAAACCCAAAAAAAACCCAAAGAGCCTCTTTTCCATCTCCCCGCCACAGAGTTGTCTTCAGTAATTTCATTCACTTTTTTCCTCAGGGTTTCCAGGGTTTCTGGGTCCCAGAAGGGGAAGTTCTCTTCAAGGTACAGAAACCATGACTCCGCAGAGAACCGCAGAGACGGCAGCATGACCAGAGGCTGCTGGGCTGAGACTCGGGCTGAACTTCTGCTGCAGGTCGACTTATTCCCATCGGCACCAAAGCCGCTGGAAGGGGTCATCCAACAGCAAAGGAAGCGGGGGCGCAGCTTGGAGGCTGTTTCAGAAGGTCCCACTGAGCCGAGGACTCAAGGCCTGGCCACAGCCCTCCCAAGTGAGGCCCAGATCATATTTCACCACGCTCAGAAAACCTTGTCTGCTCATTTCAGTCCACAGCGACTTTGCTTTCTTTTTGATCTCTCTTGCACTGTCCAACCAAGAAAGTTCCAAATCTGAATGGATTCCAGTGATGGAGTTAAATCAGGCCCCACCTCAGTTTCTGAACTACAATCAATAGGGCTGGGTCCCAGCATCTGCATCTTAATGTCCCTCCGTGTCATCCCGAAAGGCTGGTATTTGCAAATCCTTTTGGGGAGCGAAGGGTTTTTTAGAGACAGGCCTCACTCTGATGCCCAGCCTGGAATGCAGTGGTGGGATCAGAGCTCACTGCAGCCTTGAACTCCTGGCCGCAACAAATCCTCCCACCTTGGCCAACCAAAGTGTTGAGATTACAGGAGTGACCACTGTGTCCGGCCAGGAAAGCCCTTCTGTTTCACTTGAATGATATTTCGGCAGCATACCTACAGCCATTGTTGTATGAAACTGCATCATTGCAGGAAAAGAAAAGGTCAGAGGTGGCTGTTTTGCTTTTTTCTGAACATATCAGACCAAATCTGGGCTAGCCTTTTTTTTTTTTTTTTGAGATGGTGTCTCGCTCTGTCACTCAGGCTGGAATGCAGTGGCGTAATCTCGGCTCACTGCAACCTCTGCCTTCCAGGTTCAAGTGATTCTCCTGCCTCAGCCTCCCAAGTAGCTGGGATTACAGATGTGCACTCCCCTGCCCAGCCAATTTTTTCTGTATTTTTGGTAGAGACGGATTTCAACATGTTGGCCAGACTGGTCTCGAACTTCTGACCTCTGGTGATCTGTCTGCCTCGGCTTCTTAAAGTGGTAGGATTACAGGCATGAGCCACCATGCCTGGTTTGCCCATTTTTTGACAATGTGTCAACATCATGTAAGATGGGCACTGCCTCAGTATAGTGGGTCTAGACCAGGTGGCCAGAAGAGAGAAGAATATGCAAACCAGGCTTGAAGATGAGTTAAAGCAGAGCGTTTCATTCCACAAAAGAGAAATTTTAATGGGTCATAACATTGATCTTCTAATCTTTGAAAGCCTTTTAACTAGGAGAGAGACAGCAAACTGTTTTGTTGTAGAAAGACCCACCCAGCTCTGACGGTTTAAAGGGTCATGAATGCAAATCTGAACTCTAGAAAAGCAGAGCTTCCTAAGAATGGGACTTCCACAGCACTGGGATCTGCTTCCTCGTTCTGTTTGTGCCTTTCCCATGAGCGAGAGACTCCCAGGAGAGCCGCAGCCCGCTAGGAAGCTGTGTGGGACTCACTCACAGCTTTTTTTTCAGACGGACTTTTGCTCTTGTTGCCCAGGCTGCAGTGCAATGGTGCGATCTTGACTCGCTGCAACCTCTGCACCCCGAGTTCAAGTGATTCTCCAGCCCACCACTCCCAAGTAGCTGGGATACAGGCAACCGCCACCATGCCTGGCTAATTTTTTTGTATTTTTAGTATAGATGGGGTTTCACCATGTTGGCCAGGCTAGTCTCAAACTCCTGACCTCAAGTGATCCACCCACTTGGGTTTCCCAAAGTGCTGGGATTACAGGCGTGAGCCACTGAGGCTGGCCAGGAACCCCCAGGTTTTTCGGATGGTCTCTGAATGTCATACAACTTTTATTTTTTATCAAAAAAATTTTTTTGACACAACATCTTGCTGTATTGCCCAGACTGGAGTGCGGTGGCCAGATCATAGCTTACTGCAGCTTCCAACTCCTGGGCTCAAGCCGTCTTCCTGTCGCGAGTCTCCCAAGTAGCTGGAACACAGGTGCCAGCCACCACACCTGGCTAATTTTGTTTGGTTTTGTTTTTTTAGAGATGGGGTCTTGCTATGTTGCCTACACTGGTCTTGAACTGCTGGCCTCAGGCAATCTTCCTCCCTTGGCCACCCAAAGTGCTGGGATTACAAGCATGAGCCACTGCACACAGCTGAGATTTTTCGATTTAGTCTTTTTGTACATGCGATATTTTATTCATAGAATCCATAAATGGTAGGGAAATTTCTGAGTTCAGAGCAATACATATGATAGAAAATGTGATATATAGACTAGAGTTGCTTAGCCGAACTGGAGGGGCTGGCTTTAGGTAATCCACGGACTCCCTGAAATTGGGGACACCAGTAGAAATATGTGTGAGCTCATGGGCAGATTCCTATGATTTTCAGGCCTCAAAATGTCTCCTCTTAGGGCAGAGGACGCGTGTACCCCCAGTACAGAATCTCGGACAGTGAATGTCAGTGGACATTCGGCAGAAAAGCTCTGCCAAACTGAGTGTTCTGATGTGACTTTTTCATCAAGTCAAGGTTCCTGGGATCTCTTGTACATGATCATCTCACTCTTGTCAGGTTTCATCGTTTCTGCTTACCCTAGTTCTTTCCCACCCTGTTCCCTCTCCCACCACACTGGACTCTGAAATGGGCATGTACAGAGAAGAGGAGACCCCACCATGCCTCAGGCTTTGAGTGGAGAGAACACAGCCTTTGCTGGGACAGGGAACAAAGGGATATGGAGACCCTGAAGATGCTTTTGGACAGTGGTCTGAGGTCCGGACAGTGGCAGGAGATACCATTCACCCAGCATCTCCAGGACAAGAGATCAGCCTGGCAGTTACATGTGTTTTTCTTCAAACTGGTTGCCAGGTTGGAATGGCCAATGACATCAGAGATTCCAACCTTCCTGATTGGAGGACCGGACTCCGTCGGCACCTGGAAACTGAGGTGGACAACAGCATCTTCTCAGAGCTGTTCGCCACTCCTGACTTCTCCCAGCCTCGAGAATTCATAACACATTCTTCTGGCTCCTAACAGAGTCCAGAAGAAGGCCTTGGACAGAACAGAGACTATGTTCTGTGGGATGGAACAGACTTTGGGGAAGATCACGACCCTGCTCCCCGAGGATAAGGAGGAGAGCCCCCAGCCGAACATCTCGGGGTACTCCCTCCAGGAAGTGGTGGATGATGAAGTGTCGGGACCATCAGGTGAGGGGACTGGAGCAAGAAGAGGTGTGATAGGATTGACTAAGACGAAGAAAGGGGGCTGGGTGCAGTGGCTCACGCCTGTAACCCCAACACTTTGAGAGGCCGAGGCAGGCAGATCACCTGAGGTCAGGAGTTCAAGACCAGCCTGGCCAACATAGTGAAACCCCATCTCTACTAAAAGTACAAAAATTAGCTGGGCAGTAGTGGTGCGTGCCTGTAATCCCAGCTACTCAGGAGGCTGAGACAGGAGAATCGCTTGCGCCTGGGAGGAAGAGGTCGCAGTGAGCCGAGATTGCGCTACTGCACTCCAGTTTGGGTGAGAGAGTGAGATGCTGTCTCAAAAAAAAGAAGGGTCAGAGGTCAGGAAGGAGAACCTGAGGAAGGTGTGTGGGAAGAATGGAGAAATTCAGGCCAGGTGCAGTGGCTCACACCTGTAATCCCAGCACTTTGGGAGGCCAAGGCAGGCGGATCACTTGAGGCAAGGAGTTTGAGGTCAGCCTGGCCAATATGGTGAAACCCCATCTCTACTAAAAGTACAAAATTGAGCTGGGCATTATGGCAGGCACCTGTAATCCCAGCTACCAGAGAGGCTGAGGCAGGGGAAAAACTGGAATCCGCGAGACAGATGTTGCAGTGAGCTGAGATTGCACCACTACACTCCATCCTGGGAGACAAAGCTAGATTCTGTCTGAAAACAAAACAACAAAACAAAACATAACAAAACAAAACAAAAAAAAGAGGGACTCAGAGAGCCAGGGACCAGGGAAGGACGTGAGGAAATGTTCTGAGGACAGAGAAACGGAAGAATGGGAAGGAGAAGGAGCAGCACGTGGGGTTGACAGAGGAGAAAGTCAGAAAGATGGCTTGGAGAAGCCAGCAGTCTGCAAGGCTGGGGAGGATGGAGAGTGCTTTGGGGTTTGGGGTTGGGGTCTAAGGTGATCAATTGCAGAAGCATTACACGGTGGTCTGGTTTCTTTACTCAGCCCTTGGGGTAGATCCCAGCCCCTCATGTAGGTCCCTTTGCTGGAAAAGGAAGAGGGAGTGGTTGGATCAATCTGACGAGGAGCCAGAGAAGGAACTCGCCCCTGAGCCTGAGGAGACCTGGGTGGCGGAGACGCTGTGTGGCCTCAAGATGAAGCTGAAGCGACGGCGAGTGTCGCTCGTGCTCCCCGAACACCATGAGGCCTTCAACAGGCTGCTTGGTAGGAGGATACCCCAGAGAGCACCTCCAATCCTGTTCTTTCTAAAAAGAGGAAACTTCCAATAACCACACTTTTCCAATGGGAAAAATATGCCCCCAGTGGGTGAGCTCTCCATGCGGGAGGACTCTGAAGTGATCACTAATGAGGGACGCTTAGGAGACAACAGAGGATTAGGCTAGACTTGACAAAGGTCGGTGCTTGGGATAAGAAAGCTTGGTTTCGACCCAGGCGCGGCGGCTCATGCCTGAGATCCCAGCACGTTGGGAGGCTGAGGCAAGAGGACTGCTTGAACTCACGACTTTCAGTCTGCAGTGAGCTATGACTGCACCACTGCACTCCAGCCTGGGTGACAGAGCAAAACCCTGTCTCAAAAAAAAAACCAAGGCTGGGCATGGTAGCTCATGACCCGAGATGGCCCCATTGCGTTCCAGCCTAGCCCACAGAGAGAGACTCTGTCTCAAAACAAATAAATAAAAATAAAAATCAAATAAAGAAAAACAAAATTAATAAACAAAGACAGCGGTTTCAGCTGTGCCCTGTGAAACTTAATGTCTCTTACTAACTTTTCTAAACCTAAGTGTCTCCATCCATAGTGGGGGATACCAAGGCCATGGTCACACCCTGATGTGACCGTCTCATGAGGAAATGCTGGGAATTCCTTTATGACTCTGCAGCGGTCCCCCCGGGTCTGCTGGGAGGGTGTCCTGGCTTCTTCTCAGCCCTACACCCTGCAGATTCTCACACCCAGGGCCTCCTTCGGCCTCTTCCCAGGGGGGTCTCAGAGCCTCTCCCCCTTGCCCAGTGAAAGTCATTCTCCCCTCTCCCATCCCCCTCACCCGGGGCCACAATCCTGAGACTTCCCCCTGGGAGGCACACTTCTCCTCGCTGCCCTGCTGCTCCCACGGAAACCCTGTCCTGCTTCTCACGCTGACATCTGCTCTCTAATCACAGAGGATCCTGTCATTAAAAGATTCCTGGCCTGGGACAAAGATCTGAGGATGTCGGACAAGGTAAGGTTGTTCTCCACCTAACTGTGCTCCTGTTCTAATGCACAGCCCGGGGGAGGGCACCGCTTCCAAACCCACAGTTCTCCCTCCACCACCTCCCACCAGATGCTCCTTTTTTTTTTTTTTTTCTTTTTTTTTGTGAGACAGAGTCTTGCTCTGTTTCCCAGGCTGGAGGGCAGTGTCTTGATCTTGACTCACTGCAGCCGACGCCTCCCAGGTTCAAGTGATTGTCCTGCCTCAGCCTCCAAGCAGCTGGGATTACAGACGTGAACCACCACGCCTGGCTAATTTTTGTGTTTTTAGTAGAGATGGGGTTTTGCCATGTTGGCCAGGTTGGTCCTGAACACCTAACCTCAGGTGATCCACCCACCTTGGCCTCCCAAAGTGCTGAGATTATAGACGTCAGCCACTGTGCCCGACCAGCTCCCACAGTCTTGAGTCTTGGCACTCAAATATTTTTTTTTTCTGAGTCTAGCTCTGCTCCCCAGGATGGAGTGCGGTGACATGATCACAGCACACTCAAGCCTCTAATTCCTGGGCTCAAGTAATCGTCTTTACTCAGTCTCCTGAGGAGCTGGGACTAGCACATGCCACCATGCTCAACGAATTTTTGAAATCTTTGTAGAAACAGGGTCTCTCTATGTTGCCCAGGTTGTTCTCGAACTGTTGGGCTCACATGATCCTCCTGTTTCCACCTCTCAAAGTACCGGCATCACAGGCTTGAGCCGCCACTCCCAGCTGTTCTTGGTCTTTTTATGATTTGTCAGCATCTCTCTCAGGACTCTGCGGGTCTCTTGCTGAGTGAATGAATAGCCCATCTCTCCTATGGGTCCTTTGGGATCTGAGCCCTGGGCCACAGTCTGGCCGCAGTCCTGGAGCTCCTGGCTCCTCTACTCTCAGCTCTTTGGGACACTTCTCTGCCTGGCACACAAAAGACCCTCTTGACACCAGCCCACCTAGACACACCCCCTCCAAAGATCCCATCTGGAGTCCACCATCCTGGGAGCATCACCGAAAACCCTTCCTCCGGCTTCTCAGATTTGCATCCAACCTTCGAACATCCCTCCACCCGGCCATTTCCAAATAAGTACAGCTACCCCAATACTGAGGTCCCTTCTCTGAGGTGCAGCCCTTCCCCAGACCCTCATTCCCCCTCTCCACAATCTTCCTCTTCCAAGATGTGACCTCTCCCTCTCTGTGTTCCTTTCTCTCCATCAGTATCTCCTGGCTATGGTCATAGCATATTTTAGCCGGGCCGGCCTCTTCTCCTGGCAATACCAACGCATTCATTTCTTCCTGGCTCTGTAAGTGGTTTGCTTCCTCCTATCCGTCAATATCCAATGCCCTGGGATAGTGGGGGAAGTGGGATTCCAGCCTTTCATTTACCCTTTCACCTGTTTGTCCTCTTTACTCTGTGTACAAAAAAGACAGGATTATACTATCTTGTTCTTAGACTGTTGTTTCTAAAAAGAAACTCAGGCTGGGTGCAGTGGTTCATGCCTGTAATCCCAGCACTTTGGGAGGCCGAGGTAGGCGGGTCACCTGAGGTCAGGAGTTCGAGACCAGCCTGGCCAACATGGCCAAACCCCGTCTCTACTAAAAATAGAAAAATTAGCCAGGCACGGTGGTGTGCACCTGTAATCCCAGCTACTCAGGAGGCTGAGGTGGGAGAACTGCTTGAACCCAGGAGGGGGAGGTTGCAGTGAGCTAAGGTTGAGCCACTGCACTCCAGCCTGGGTGACAGAGCGAGACTTTTTCCCAAAAAAAAAAAAAAAAAAAGCCAAAAAAAAACCAACAAAACTCCAACACCGGTGTACAAATAAAAGAATAAAACAAAAGGAACCATAAACCACTCCTAAGGGGAGAAGAAAAGGGAAAAGGAGCAGAGGAGTGGACACGACACTTCCCCCAGCAAGCAGCCTTTCTGGTTCTTCTCTCTCTCCTTCCCACATCAACCGCAAACGCCATCGACCTCCTCCGGGTTCCCATGATGGAGATCACAGTTCAGGTCCCCCCTGCATCACTCGAATCCACTGTCAAATGCTCCCTGACAGGGTCTCCTGGAGTCTCTCCCCAAGCCAGGGGGCTTCCTAGTGCAGCCTGAGCATCTTTCCAAAGCACAGCGCCCTCACTGCCCACCTGAACAACTTCCTTAGCAGACGTCTTTCTTTTTTTCTGAGATGGAGTCTTACTCTGTCATCCAGGCTGGAGTGCAATGGCACAATCTTGGTTCACTGCAAGCTCTGCCTCCTGGGTTCACACCATTCTCCTGCCTCAGCCTCCCGAGTAGCTGGGACTACAGGCGCCGCCACTGCGCCCGGCTAATTTTTTTTTTTTTTTGTATTTTTAGTAGAGACAGGGTTTCACTGTGTTAGCCAGGATGATCTCGATCTCCTGACCTTGTGATCCGCCTGCCTCGGCCTCCCAAAGTGCTGGGATTACAGGCATGAGCCACACCGTTCGGCCTAGCTGATGTCTTTCTAAACAGAGGCCAGGGTCCACACTGCCAGTTTCACCCTCTCTACAATCTCTACAACCACACTGGCTCGCCATCTTGGTGTTTCCTGGCTTGGCTTCACTGCTCCTTCCAAATGCCCTCCACTGACTTTGCGTTTGTGTTTTCTGTCTGGGTGTCCTGCACACATGTGGTTCTGAAGGGAAGGACAGTCCTTGAAGTCAGTTCACCCCACAGCCTCTGTCGTGCCTTCCCTCATCTTCCAACTTCGGCATGCCCGTAGCTCTCCAGTTACATCCTATGATAATGTGACATTGGGATTAGGTCATCTGCCCTGATTACTCCCAGTCTCATTAGACTAGATGAATGTAGAAGGCAGGGTCCTGGCAAAATATCAATGTATTCAATTTCTTTAATTTTTTTGGGACAGATTTGCCCTGTCCCACAAGCTGGAGTGCAGTGTTGAGATCATAGCTCAGTGCAGCCTCTATATCCTGGGCTCAAGGGATCCTCCCACCTTAGCCTCTTGATTAGTTCCGACTACAGGGCTGTGCCACCACACCTGGACAGTTATTTATTTATTGAGACAGAGTGTTGCTGTGCCTCTCAGGCTGGAATGGAGTGGCCCAATCTCAGCTCACTGCAACCTCTGCCTCCTGGGTTCACACAATTCTTATGCTTCAGCCTCTTGAGTAGCTAGGACTAACGGCTGTGCCACCACACCAGGTTGATTTTTGCATTTTTAGTAGAGATAGGGTTTCTCCATGTTGACCAGGCTGGTCTCGAACTCCTGGTCTCGAGCAATCTACTGGCTTGAGCCTTCCAAAGTGCTGGGATTACAGGCATGAGCCACCACGTCTGGCATATATTTTATATTTTTAATAGAGACGAGGGTCTTGCTATGTTGCCCAGCCCCATCTCAAACTCCTGGCCTCAAGTGATCCTCCTGCTTCGGCCTCCCAGTGTGCTGGGATTCCAAGCATAAGCCATCACTCTTGGTCACCAGTTGGGTTTTTGTCTCTATCCTGAAGGAGTGGGAGACGCCCTTCAGCAGGTCTCTGTCCAGCAGAGCCCTCTGAGGAAGGTGTGACTCTCTGCAGGGTGGGTGTCAGTCCTGAGCTGAGGATGGTCCCCTGCCCTCCTCTGGGAAGCTGACCTCAGCCGGAGGTCTCTCCTGGTGGTGCCCCTAAGCAGTAACCTGATTTCTGTCCCCAGCTACCTGGCCAATGACATGGAGGAGGACAGCGAGACCCCCAAACAAAACATCATCTACTTCCTGTACAGGAAGAACCGCTCTCAGATACCCTCGTTCCATAAGCGTCGGTTCCAGTTCTTCTATTCCATGCGCTCGGGGGCTGAGAAGAAACCCTCTCAGAAAGCCTTGTTCCATAAGCTTCGGTTCCAGTTCTTCCATTCCATGCGCTGCAGGGCCTGGGTTTCCCTGGAGGAGTTGGAGGAGGTGGGTGGGGCATGGGGAGGTGGAGATGGGGGGGAATCGGGTGGGCTGGAGGCTGGACGAGGGGAGGGAGGGGTATCCTGGCGAGGCCCCATCTTCTCAAAGGGCGTTTGTTTTTCCAGATCCAGGCTTACGACCCAGAGCACTGGGTGTGGGCGCGAGATCGTGCCACCTTTCCTAGAGCTCCAGGGACCATGGAGGCCTGAGGTCATCGGCCTGAGAGAAGGTACATCTGCGTCCTCCGGGGTAAAGAAAGAATATTGGGGTCTATTTCGGAAATCCGAGGAAACAATTGCTTGATCCAGCTTCAAGCCTGGGCAACGTGGCAAAATTCCCTCTCACCAAAAATACAAAAATTAGCTAGGCGATGTGGGAGGCATCTCTACTCCCAACTACTCAGGAGGCTGAGGCGGGAGGATCGCTGGAGCCTGGGAGGTTGGGGCTGCAGGGAGCCCTGATCCTGCCACAGCACTCCAGCCCAGGCGACAGAGTGAGACCCTGACTCAAAAATAATCACAAATACCGAGTTTGGGGAGCTTCATGATGATTGATGCACTTGAGTTACCGATTTGGGTTGAGGGTTCAGTGGAGTTTTGGTTTACATCTTGTGCAGCTGACCACGTTGAGCAGAGCATGAGACTTCATCATGAGGAGGTAGGATGATGGATTAGGCTTCTGGACTCGTGGTTCGTGATGTTGTCACATTAGAAACGGATCTAGCATGGTTACAAGTTTAGCTCTGAAGTGACACAAAAGGCCCCAGCTGTGATGAGGTCCAAAGCCACATTCTCTGAGGGTGCCCTACTCCCTGGGCAGACCCACCCAAAGTCCTTGCTATAAAGCAGATCACTGGGACTGACCTTGGGTGTACTGAGTGAGTTTTGGAGTCAGGGTCACCAAAGTGCAAGTATCACAGTTGAACACAATGGTTCAGAAGCAGGGTATAGAATGATAAAACTGCATTTCCCAATTGCTCTGAACTCTAGTTAGACTTGACGTGGGACGTGAATAACCTTCCTGTCTAGAGAGCTGCCTCCCTGAAGTGTGACTTCTCTCTCTCACTTCCAGAACACCGGGCCCAGGGGAGATGCGGATTTTCAGCAAGAACTTTATTCCAATGCTAATGGCAGACACCAGGAAGGAGGAGAGCAGCCATTTGTGCAGATCATCTACAAGAACCTGGACTGTTCTAGATGGAGCTGAATACAGTGATCACGTTGTCCTCTTAGGACCGGGGGGGGGGGGGGGGGGGGGGGGGGGGGGGGGGGGGGGGGGGGGCTACTTCTAGGAATCCATAGAGAACAGTGAGAAACCAGGGGTGTTTCTGGTTCCACCCCTTCCTGAGGCACCACCTCCCTTTTGATATTGCTGAATTCCAACCTCCCTGGGGCCGAACCTGGAGGTCCTGTTTCCTACAGACTTGGCTGCCGCAGTCCTGGAGCATTTGAAGGCACACGGCAGACACTCAGATTGGCACGGAATTCTTTGTGAAATATGAGTGCCATAGACCGTAACAGATAGCTTCATTCACACTATGCATTTTATTGGTTTGTTTGGAAAATGTGGGCCATTGAATTAATAATAGGTTTGTTTTAAATAGTTTGGAAATTGTTGTACTTTTGAAAACATGCTGTTCCTGTAGAGTTTTTTGATGAGAGTTATAGCTGTTATATATACATAAAAATAATTTTCTTTTCATTCTTAAGACAGAATTCTTTTTATCCTAAATCTTTTATCTTTAAATTGTTTTCTGTATTATTATATGTACCTCTGAAGTGAGTACACTTTTTATCTATGATACTTACATAATAATCTCTTCTATTTATAGCTATTGGTAGTTCCCCTAAGTTTTCATCATAGACATTTTTATTTGCTGTTTAGGTTTGTGACTGAATTGTGAGAATTCAAGTTGTGATTTTTAACATGTCTTAGATATATATACTAACATGTCTAATATATACTATATATTTTATTGGTTTATTTTGAAAAAGATGGGCATAGAATTATTACTACATTTATTTTAAATATTTTGGAAATACTGGTATTTTCGAATAGAAGCTGTTTCTATAAAGTTGTGTGATGGGTGTTATAACTGTTATACACACATAAATATCATTTTGTTTTCCTTTTTAAGAGAGGATTCTTTTTATCCTAAATCGTTTACCTTTCAATCTTTTTATCTATTATTACATGTGCTGCTGAAGGGAGCATACTTTTTAATCTGTGATACTTGGTTAATGTATGTATTACATTTATAGCTATCGGTAGTTCCCCTAAATTCTTGTAAAAATAAATTTTTATTTGATATTTAGTGTACGTTTGAAATGTGAGAATTCAGATGTAATTTTTTACCTTGTATTGGCATGTTTGTATGTTACTTTAAAGAGGATGTGTGTTCTAAAGGAGGACATGAGCTGTGTGTTTTCAAGAGAACAGTGCAGTGTGTCTCTTGGGGAAACGTAATAAAGATGAACTTTTCTCACCTTCACAGCAAGTGTGATCATATTGGTCTGGATTGATTATTTGCTGTCGAGTGACATTTTTCCTTAATGGGGTTGGTGGTTATTTGAACATACTAATTAGCTCTGGAAGATAATCCTGTACTGTTTTTTACGTAGAATAAAACACAAGGCTGGGTGCAGTGCTCACACCTTCAATTCCAGCAGTTTTGGAGGTCATGGCGGGAGAATCACTTGAGGCCAGGAGTTTGAGGCCAGCCTCAGCAACATAGCATTTACATCTATTTTTAATTTTTAGTTTTTTAAAAAAAACAATAGAAGAGAAGGCTGATCCCAAGTTACAGGGTTTGTTTGTTTTGGATACAGACTCTCGCTCTGTCTCCCAGGTTGCAGTGCAGTGGCACAACCTTGGCTCCCTGCGACTTTCACCTCCAGGTTCAAGCCAATTCTCCTGCCTCAGCCTCCCAAGTAGCTGGGACTACAGGCACCCGCCTGTACGTCTGACTAATTTTTGTAAAAATAGTAAAGACAAGGTTTCAGCATGTTGGCCAGGCTGGTCTCCAACTCCTGACCTCAAGTGATCCGCCCACCTCAGCCTCCCAAAGTGCCGGGATTACAGGCATGAGCTACTGCGCCTAGACTCCAAGCTAGAGTTTTAAAGCAGGAAATGAGAGAAATATATTGAGAGAAAAACCAGGTGGTAAGAAAACTCTAAAGGTGGCCAGGCATGGTGGCTCACGCCTGTGATCCCAGCAAGAGTTCAAGACCAGTCTGGCCAACATGGTGAAACCCTGTCTCTACTAAAAATACAAAAATTAGGCAGGCGTGGTGGTGCATGCCTGTAATTGGAGCTATTTGGGAGGCTGAGGCAGGAGAATCACCAGCAGAGATTGTGTCTCCCCATCCCCTCTCAAAAAAAAAAAAAAAAGTTCCTGCAACAGTTAAAGCTGTTAAAGACAGGCAGCCTGCCATGCAATTCTTTGCGATTTTTCTTTTTTCTTTTTGGAGTTGGGATCTTGTCCTGTCACCCAGACTGGGGTGCAGTGCTGCGGTCATAGCTCACTGTGGCCTCAGACTCAAGCTCAAGCCATCCTCTTACCTTGCCTCCCAAAGTGCTGGGATTATAAGCATGAGCCACTGCACCTGGCCTGTGTGATGCAATTCTGATGTCAACTCCCTGATGTTACGTCAAATGCCACAGGTTAAGGCCACAAGCCCCCACTAGACTGCCCTCGCTTTAGATGCAAGCCGCAAGCTTGGGTGTCCTCAGACCACATGTACTTCTCACCAACTGCCTGCAAATCTGGAGGTTCCCACGGTGCCCTCAGGTTTGATAATTCACTATAACAACTCACAAAACTCAGAAAAGCAGTTTCTTTTTTTTTTTGAGACGGAGTCTTGCTCTGTCCCTGGGGTGCAGTGGACGCCACGCTTGGCTAATTTTGTATTTGTATTAGAGATGGGATTTTGCCATGTTGGCCAGGCTGGTCTTGAACTCCTGACCTCAGGTGATCTGCCCACCGTGGCCTCCCAAGGTGCTAGGATTACAGGCATAGCCACCATACCCAGCTGACTTCTAGAGTTTCAATAACAGAGATGTGGTTCAAGAAGAGAAGGCCTTGACTGTTTCTACAGACTGACAAGACGTAATCTCTGTGGTCCACGCCCATGGTGCGATCTGGAAAATGGCGCCTTCTAAATGCCAACAACAAGGAAATCAAATGTGCAACAAGCAGAAATACTAACATTGATGTGAGCCATGGAGAGGCCTAAACAGATTACTGCAGTCAGTCCATTTCCAAGGTCATCAAAGGGGTAAATCTGAAATAACAAATTTCAGACGCCATGCCCCAAATAGCTGCACGGGGTGGGGAAGTCCTCCACATGCCTCTGCTTCCTTCAGTACCTCTTTATGAAATAAGCCAAGGTACTTCCCTGGGAAATTTCCTCTTCTCTTTTCTTTACTTTTTTTTGAGATGGAGTCTTGCTCTGTCGCCCAGGCTAGAGTGCAGTGGTGCAATCTCAGCTCACTGCAACCTCTCCCTCCCAGGTATTAGCAGTTCTCCCGCATCAGACTTCTAAGTAGCTGAGATTACAGGTGCGTGCCACCATGCCCAGCTAATATTTGTATTTTTAGTAGAGACAGGGTTTCACCATCTAGGCCAGGCTGGTCTTGAATTCCTGACCTCGTGATCCACCCACCTTGGCCTCCCAAAGCGCTGGGGTTACAAGAGTGAGCCACCGCGCCCAGACTTCTTTTTTTATTTTGCTGAGGTGAAGTTTCTGTCTCGTTGCCCAGCTGGTGTTCAATGATGCAATCTCGGCTCACTGCCACCTCCTCCTCCCAGGTTCAAGTGATTATCCTGCCTCAGCCTCCTGAGTAGCTGGGATTACAGGCATCCACCACCAAACCCAGCTAACTTTTTGTATTTTTAGTAGAGATGGGATGTGGCCAGGATGGTCTTGAACCCCTGACCTCTCATGATCCACCCGAATTGGTCTCCCAAAATGCTGGGATTACAGGTGTGAGTCACTGCGCCCAGCCCCTCCCATACCTCTTTTGGCCAAGGCAGTACAATTCAGAAGAATATTGCCAGGGAAGACTGGTAAATGGACGTCAACGTGATGCCTATGGCTCCTAGAGGATTTAGATACCTCCTGGTGCTCACTGATACCTTTACCAGTTAAATGGGGGCTTTTCCATGCCAGACTGAAAATGCAGGAGATCACTGATCAACCTTCAGCTATTCACTAACAGAACACTGAGGGGACTGTGTAGTCCCCAATACCTCCTATTGCAATTGGATAAACACTTCCTGGGAAATAGAGATGAATAGAAAGGAAATAGTCAAACAAGTAGAGATGGCTGTATTCCCTCAACCAGAGGGTCCATTAGTCTGTTTTCATACTGTTATAAAGAACTACCGGAAACTGGGTAATTTATGAAGAAAAGAGGTTTAATTGACTCACAGTTCTGCAGGCTGTACAGGAAGGGTGGCTGGGGAGGCCTCAGGAAACTGACAATCATGGCAGAAGGCGAAGGGGAAGCAGGCACGTCTGGCCATAGTGGAGCAGGAGAGACAGAGAGAGTGAAGAGGGAGGTACTGCATGCTTTTAAACAACCAAATCCCATGAGCCCTCACTCACTATCATGAGAACAGCAAGCGGGGAAGTCGGCCCCCATAAGGCAATCACCTTCCACCAGGTTTCTCACTCAACACTGGGAATTACAATTTGACATGCGATTTGGGTAGGGATACATAGCTGAATCATATCAACGGTAGTTCAACCACGAGACTGATTGACTGAGATGGAGTCCCACTCTGTTACCTAGGCTGGAGTGCAGTGGCACAATCTCGGCTCACTGCAACCTCTGCCTCCCAGGTTCAAGCGATTCTCCTGCCTCAGCCTCCCGAGTAGCTGGGACTACAGCATACGCTACCATGCCTGGCTAATTTTTGTATTTTTAGTAGAGACAGGGCTTCACCAAGTTTGCCAGGCTGGTCTTGAACTCCTGACCTCATGATCAGCCTGTCTTGGCTTTTCTTTTGCTGGAATTACAGGCATGAGCCACTGCACCCAGCCAACCACTGAGATTTAGAAGGCAGTCAAGTCCACTATACCACACCTCACCTGGTTTCTTCCTCTGATGGTGCCCCTCGTGGCCACTGTTCTGTTACTTTTCGGTCCTATTTATTTAAATGGATGGTGAGCTGTCTGCCCTCCAGGCTCCAACACTTCTACCTTCAGCTTGTATTACAACAATACCAGCCCTTCAAGCTACTCCAGGTGACCCCAGAACTCATTTGAACTCAGAAACTCAAGTGTTTCATTCCTCTCACTTTCCTCTCACTTTAGGGGACTCAGTGCCCCTGGTCAGCATGAAGTCAGTACAGAAACATGACCTCCATCCCTAATCCCTCAACAATGAAGAGTGGAAGGTGTAGGCAAGAGGGTGGGGGCACGGTTTGTAAATCTGTAACTGCATCAGACCAAATCTAGTTCAACTTTTTTTTTTTTTGACGGAGTTCGCTCTCGTCACTCAGGCTGGAGTGCAATGGCACAATCTCAGCTCACTGCAACCTCCACCTCCTAGGTTCAAGCGATTCTGCTGCCTCAGCCTCCGGAATAGCTGGGATTAGAAGGGTACTCACCATTTTGACCAGGCTGGTCTTGAACTCCTGACCTCAGGTGATCCACCTGTGTAGGCCTCCCAAAGTGCTGGAATTATAGGCATGAGTCACTGCACCTGGCTCAGTTCAACTTTTATGTAATGAAGTTGTCAGTTGCTTTTCAATTGCCATGGACCTGCAGGTTAAAGGTCATGTACCCTGTGCATTCTCAGGTTAACCAAGCATGCCACCACAGAGTGGAAACTAAGAGCTCAGCCTGAAGAGCTGGGACCGATTTAAGAACCGGACACCCCATGGCAGGAGCCAGGATCCAATCAGATTGAGTTCTGGTGTCCCCCATGGCAGGATCCAGTCAGATCACACAGCCCAGCATGACTTTATTGCAAGATCCAATCAAATCACACCTCATTACCGTATGCTTATAAAACCTGACACAGCCCCCAGTTGTGTAAGGGAGATCTATTTCCATGTGTGGTGTGTGTGCATGTGATGTGTGTGCATGTGTGGTGTGAGCACATGTGTGGTGTGAGCACGTGTGGTGTGAGTGCATGTATGGTGTGTGTGCATGTGTGGTGTGTGTGCAGGTGTGTGTGTGCATGTGTGGTGTGAGTGCACTGGTGTGTGTGCATGTGTGGTGTGTGTGCATGTGTGGTGTGAGTGCATGTGTGGTGTGAGTGCATTGGTGTGAGCGCATGTGTGGTGTGTGCATGTGTGGTGTGAGTGCATGTGTGCTGTGCATGTGTGCTGTGTGTACATGTATGGTGTGAGTGCATGTGTGGTGTGTGTGCATGTGTGGAATGTGCACATGTGTGGTGTGTGTGCATGTGTGGTATGTGTGCATGTGTGGTGTGAGTGCATTGGTGTGAGTGCATGTGTGGTGTGTGTGCATGTGTGGTGTGAGTGCATGGGTGGTGTGAGTGCATGTGTGGTGGCAAGTGCACATGTGCATGAGTGGTGTGTGCATGTGGTGGCAAGGTGCATGGGTGGTGTGTGTGCATGTGTGGTGTGAGTGCATGGTTGGTGTATGTACGATAGGTGGGTGAGTGCATAGGTGGGTGTGAGTGCATGGGTGGTGTGTGTGTGTATGTGCAGGTGGCAGGTGCATAGGTGCACCCAGGTGCATGTGGTGTGAGTGCATGGGTGGTGTGGAGTGCGTGGGTGGGTGTGAGTGCATGGGTGGTGTGTGTGTATGTGTGGTGTGAGTGCATGGGTGGTGTGAGTGCATGGGTGGTGTGAGTGCATGTGTGGTGTGTGTGTATGTGTGGTGTGAGTGCATGGCTGGTGTGAGTGCATGTGTGTTATGTGTGCATGGGTGGTGTGAGTGCATGGGTGGTGGCAAGTGCATGTGTGGTGTGTGTGCATGTGTGGTGTGAGTGCATGGGTGGTGTGTGTGCATGTGTGGTGTATGTGCACATGACGGAGGCTGAGAGGGGACTGGGTGGGTGAGTGGGGACAAGCTTTGAGTTTAACTCAGGGCAGTTAGTAGTGGGTGGTGTGAGTGCATGGGTGGTGTGAGTGCATGTGTGGTGTGTGTGCATGTGTGGTGTGAGTGCATGGGTGGTGTGTGTGCATGTGTGGTGTATGTGCACATGACGGAGATGAAGGGGACTGGGTGGGTGAGTGGGGACAAGCTTTAAGGTTTTAACTCAGGGCAGTTAGTAGTGTGAAAGAACATGTAATTCCTCCCACTTCTAGTAGGTACAATATACTCTGAGTTTCCTCTCAGGAGGTTGCTAGCTATGTGTATTCAGATGGAGGTTATGAACACAAAATCTAATTCAATCTTAAATAAAATTGAGACATTGCAATTCTCACATGAACTTAAGAGTCTTGCTTAAAACGTCCTAATAGAAAACATGCTTGGCATTGGACAGTTCACAGCAATGATACTGATACAACTCTGCCACAGACAGACAATACAGGTCACTGCCCTTGAGTGCAGGGACCTGTTCCCACATGATACAGTCAGTTCTTATGAGGAGAAACAGTTAAATAAATAACCTACTAGATGTGATGGAGATGCCACTATGATGCCCAGTTCTTTAAACAAAGAAGCGTCATCTGGACTTTGAAAATGGCAAAAGGTGTTTGGGGAGAGGGGTAGCGGGGGTTTATTTGAGCACAGGTGGTGAAAAGAGCAAGCAAGAAAAATATTGACACAGTGGAAGAGAAACTAAACACTTCCCACTTTACATTACAGTATCTGTCCTAAAGAAGATGATATAAAACAGGAATCCAGAGCTTTGTAACTGGAGTGCCACAAGTAGCTGCCATCTCAGTAACCATGTCAACCGTTACTCACAAAGTACTCATCCTCATTTGCTTATGAAAAGGAAAGCACTCAGATCCTTCTTATACATCAGCGGTCAGGTAAACAGCAGATATCTGGGCCATGAGGGCAGCCTATAATACCATAATATACATCTAAAAAAAATTTGCCTCCCTACCTTTCGGCAGCGAGGATTAGGACAGCTGAACCTCTTCACATCACTGTCCAACAGAGCAGGAAAGCTACAGGAGGGGCACCTACAGTCAGAACAGCAGAAGTGACATTACTTCAAACATTAAAGACTGACTTGGTTCCAGCTCCATGTGGCTGTTCATATGAAGATGGAGTTTTGAGCTGGACATTCACATCCCCTTTATACTTGTTAGTTTTCCTGAAAACACAGATTGAGCCTCTTCTTTGTGCTGGCTCTTATCAGGAAACGTAAGCACCACTTGCGGTCCTGACTCAATATAAACCACTCAATAAACACATCTCAATCTCAATGAGAACTCTTTGCATATACCGATTTCCCTCCAGCCCAGGGCACCATGATTGTATCTATGGGCCAGAAGATTAGTGGGTGCCAAGATATGTAGACAGAAGTTTGAGCTGCAGGCCGGGCGCAGTGGCCCACACCTGTAGTCCCTGCACTTTGGGAGGCCATGGTGGGTGGATCACTTGAGGTCAGGAGTTTGAGACCAGTCTGGTCAACATGGCAAAACCCTGTCTCTATCAAAAAAACAAACAAATAAAAAAGTTGGACATGGTGGCACACACCTGTAATCCAGGCTACTCGGGAGACTGAGGCATGAGAACTGCTTGAACTTGGGAGGCGGAGGTTGTAGTGAGCTGGGACTGCGCCACTGCACTCCAGCCTGGTTGACAGAGTGAGATTCCATCTCAAAAAAAAAAGAAAAAAGAAAAAAGAAATTTGAGCTGCAGAGTTTTCCATTAACAAAATTACTGGTTACTCAATGGTTTCAAGGTGTTAAAAAATAAAAATAAATAAATAAAATCATTGATAATCTTATTTCTCAGCAAGAAATGCCAAAAACCTGGAAGATATACTCAATTTTCATCATCTGACGCAAGTGCCCAGGTAGTTTTCACAATGGGGAAAGGTTGGCAGATGGCACGCTCTGCCTGAGAACGAATCCGACAAGCTCATCGGTGTAGGCTGCTGCAACCTCCTCCTCGGCTTTTCGTTCATAGTACTTATATAGGATGGTCTGGGGGAGCACCTTCTCCAGCTCACTGGTTGGGAATGAACACGTGCAGCTGCCTTCCATGCAGCTGAGCTCCGACTAGAAAAAGGTGAACAGGCAAAGAAGAAAAAAATCAACACCGTTTATAAAAAAATAAAAAGCGTCAGGGGTTAAAAACATAGATTCTGAGACAGTAGAGCAAAGATCTCTCTGAGAAATCACAATTAAATCACGAAAACCATGAAACAAAAATCCAGTACATCTTTGATATCACTAGAGGATCTCTATTAGCCCAAATCACAATCCACAGAGGTTGAAAGTGGAGGAAGGGTAAATGGCTTAGCAGACCAGACAGAGTAGCCCATAGCTTAGGGTCTGAAAAGGAGATGCTGGGGAGAAGTTAGTCCCCTCTACAGATATTAGAAAGCTGGAGACCCTCTGGAAAGCAGAGCTGAGTGGTGGGGAGGGGTGGGGACTCAAAGTAATAAACTGGAAACAAGGAGATAGGTGGAGCCTGTAGTTCCTATCCCCTTTAGAAGGAACTGGCTGACTCTGAGATAAATGAGGAAGATCTGAACAGCTGGACCACAAGGCTCTGGCCTGGGAACCAGTCAGAGAGGAGAGCAAAGCTGAGGAGCTCTGACTTGAGGAGAGCAAGTCAGGGTCTGAAATGAAGTCTGCATAATGAACAGAAAATTCTCCAGCTCCTTCCTCGCACTCAGTTTCAGAATGCTGGAAAATGGGCTCACACCCACTAGGCAGGAGGCAGACTGAATCACCCCAGGGAAGAGACTTAAGGGTCATTCAGGTTTATAATATAAAAGCTAACTGGCTCCCAGGCACCTAGAGTCAAACCCACTGCTCTATAAGCCCCACTATTCACACAGCTTTCCAACAGCTCTTTAACATGAACAAAGAGTGTCAGACAGGAGTAATGCGTCCCACATGAATGAAAGACAGACACCAAAGAAAACAAATGGAAAAACACATCCTAAAAATAACTAGCTAAAATTTATGAGGCATTTAGCATGTGTCAAATAGTAAGTTTATTAAATTCATGACCTCATTTAGCTTTCAAAACAATGCCATGATTATTTCCATTTTACAGAGGAAGAAACTGAGGCTTAAGGTATTTAATTTGCTCAAGATCACAGAGCTGGTATGGCTGATGGGGGGCATGGCCCAATGCATTCTGCTTGACTCCAAATGTCATGCTCTTTGAAAAAACAGAAACTTTATTTATTTATTAATTTTTCTGAGACAGAGTCTTGCCCTGTCCCCAAGGCTGGAGTGCAGTGGTGCGATCTCGGCTCACTCAGCCTCCTGAGTAGCTGGATTACAGGCACCCACCATCACACCTGGCTAATTTTTGTATTTTTAGCACAGATTGGGTTTCACCATGTTGGCCAGGCTGGTCTCGAACTCCTTACCTCATGATCTGCCCAACTCAGCCTCCCAAAGTGCTGGGATTACAGGCATGAGCCACCGCACCTGGCCTATTTCTTTTTCTTTTTTTGAGATGCAGTTTCCCTCTTGTTGCCCAGGCTGGAGAGCAACGGCACAATCTGAGCTCACCACAACCTCTGCCTCCCGGATCCAACCAATTCTCCTGCCTCAGCCTTCCCAGTAGCTGAAGATTATAGGCACGTGCCACCAGGCCTGGCTAATTTTGTATTTTTAGTAGAGACGGGGTTTCTCCATGTTGGTCAGGCTGGTCTTGAACTCCTGACCTCCGGTGATCCGCCCACCTTGGCCTCCCAAAGTGCCGGTATTACAGGCGTGAGCCACCATGCCCGGCCCCTAATGTTAACATCTTATGTCAAAACCAGGAAGTTGATAGTGGTCTGCTACCATTAATGGGACCAGGCTTTCCACTCATGTCTTCTCTTCTGGCCCAGGATCCCACAAGGCATCTAGTCGTCATGTCTCCTTAATCTCTTCCAACCTGAGTTTCTCAGTATTTCTTGGTCTTTTACAGCCCTGGCACTTTTGAAAAGTACTGGCCAGTAAGTTTGTAGAGTGTCTCTCAATTTGATTTGTCTCATGATTAGACCTAAGTTAGGAACTTTTTGGCAAATTCTCAGCATACGCCAGACAGACGTCAATGTGTCTTATGTATGGTTGGGGATGTAAAAAGCCCCCCCGCTTTTTGAGATGGGGTCCTACTCTGTTGCCCAGGTTGAAATGCAGTGGCTCCCACCTCAGCCTCCTGAGTAGCTTGACTACAGGTGTGAGCCACCATGCCCAGGTAATTTTTGTATTTTTTGTAGAGACAGGGTTTCACCATGTTGACTAGCTGGTCTCAAACTCTTGACCTTAGGTGATCCACCTGCCTCAGCCTCCCAAAGTGCTAGGATTACAGGCGTGAGCCACCGCGCCCGGGCAAAAAGTCATATTCTTAATCACTGTGTCAGATTTCTATTGCTGCTGGAACAAAATACCACAAACTTAGCGGTGTAAAACAATGTAAAATTCCCATACTGTGTTTGTTATGCTGGTGTCCAGAGAAACTGACTTTGGAGAGAGAAATATGATCTTGTGTAAAGTAAGTTATGTTATTTTAACATATATTTAATCCAATAGGCTGCAAGGTTCTCTCTTTCGGAGGTAACCTTCCCTCTGATTATGAATAAGAAGATGAGTGAAGCCGGTACTCCTCTGTAGCTAGGCATGGGGGCGTGGAAGAATTCTACTGCTCCCTGAAAAGAAATCTGCTGTGCTTAGAGAACCCACATAATCACACACAACAGGTAATGCCCATAAGCACACCAGCAGAATTCCACCTCACCCTGAAAGAGGCACTTACACTTGTCTATCAACATGGTCTCCTTAGACTCCAGGAATGTGTCCTACATACATGGGACATATTACACAGTTCTTACCTTTCCAGATCCAAAGACTGCCTCTTGGGCATATCTGATGAGACACTCTTTGCAGAACAAGTGAGCATCTGCGCACTGCGTCAGCTCCTCGAATGGAAACTCCCCATAGCAGCAGCGACACTCAATCAGTTGGCCATCCTGCAGGCAGTCAAGAAACACATGAAATGTCCCGCACTTAAGCAGAGGGGGAGACTTGTCTCCCATCCTCATCTCTCTCCCACCCCCCCCACAAATTCTGAGGTAAAAAGCAACCCATTTTAGGGGCCATAAAACAATGATACACTGTTTCATGCTATATAAATCCAATTCAAGATACTAGCACAATAGTAATCCATACCTAAACCAGCGACGTTTTCATGGGTTTTGTCTGGTATTCTTTAGAGTAATTCTCTGTATAAAGTTATCATATTCAATCCCATGGTGCAAAGGGAACTAGAACATCTGCACTCAGATGCTAATGTGATTATAAAAAGCAAGGATAAGGAGCACGAGAGATGTTACCCAAAATGCTTTCAAAAGTTGAATTTTGTTCTTGTCATAAAGAGTGTGAATGGGTCATATCCAAGTCTGAGCTTTATTTTAAGGGACTATTGAAGCTATAACTAAAGCAGCAACCTCAAGTAATGTACTAGGCTATTGACTCCTTTTATTAACTATAGAAACTGATCCAGGCCGGGCGCAGTGGCTCAAGCCTGTAATCCCAGCACTTTGGGAGGCCGAGTCGGGTGGATCACGAGGTCAGGAGATCGAGACCATCCTGGCTAACTCGGTGAAACCCCGTCTCTACTAAAAAATACAAAAAACTGGCCGGGCGAGGTGGCAGGCGCCTGTAGTCCCAGCTACTTGGGAGGCTGAGGCAGGAGAATGGCATGAACCCGGAAGGCAGAGCTTGCAGTGAGCTGAGATCCGGCCACTGCACTCCAGCCTGGGCGACAGAGCGAGACTCCGTCTCAAAAAAAAAAAAAAAAAAAAGAAACTGATCCAATCACCAACCCATTCTTTTTTTTTTTGAGACGGAGTCTTACTCTGTTGCCCATGCTGGAGTGCAGTGGTGCGATCTTGGCTCACTGCAACCTCTACATCTCAGGTTCAAGTGATTCTCCTGTTTCAGCCTCCCGAGTAGTGGGGGTTACAGGCGCCCGCCACTACGCCCAGCTAATTTTTTGTATTTTTAGTAGAGACAGGGTTTCACCATGTTGGCCAGGCTGGTCCCGAACCTTGTGATTTGCCCACCTCGGCCTCCCAAAGTGCTGGGATTACAGGCATGAGCCACTGCATCCAGTCCCATTCTTTTATTTATTTATTTTTTATTTTTATTAGAAATGGGGTGTTTCTATGTTGACCAGGTTGGTCTTGAACTCCTGGGCTCAAACAATCCTCCCATGTCAGCCTCTCAAAGCGCTGAGATTACAGGCACGAGACACGGTGCCCGGCCACTAACCCATTCTTAATGCCACATTAGAAAAGGTCACTAGCTGGGCGTAGTGGCTCACACCTGTTCCCAGTACTTTGGGAGGCTGAGATGGGTGGATCACCTGAGGTAAGGAGTTTGAGATCAGCCTGGCCAACATGGTGAAACTCCGTGTGTACTAAAAATACAAAAATTAGCTGGACATGGTGGCACATGCCTGTAGTTCCAGGTACTCGGGAGGCTGAGACAGGAAAATTGCTTGAATCCAGGAGGCAGAGGTTGCAGTGAGCCAAGAAAGCGTCACTGCACTTCAACCTCGGTGACAGAGCAAGACACTGTTTGAAAAAAAAAAAAAAAAAAGAAAAAGAAAACTCACTGTATGAGGGCGGCAGACACCATACAGAAACCCATCTTATCCTGAGGTTAGACATATCTCTTTCTTTTAACTCTAAAGTGATATCTAAGTTGTAAACTTTCCTTTATAAGTCTATCTAATGAACGTCAGGTAATGATTTTTAACAGGAACATCTATTATCTCCCCTTCAATTCTGATTCAGTGTGATATAAGAGTGACTACATTAGATCATGTATCTGACTATAACTTGGCTGAACTGCAAACTCGGCAAATCAACAGGAGGTTATCCAAAAACAAATTTGCCATCAAAAATGCTGACAAAACATGGTAAGAGAAAACAGCCCATGAAAATATCCAGAATAAACAAAGTGAGATTTCAAACTACCTTTTGATACTATTCTTCATTCATCTGCAGGGCAAGCTAAGTCTTCATGCTGAAGAACAGAAAAAGCACACACTCAGACACAAATTTAGTAAAAATGACACTAACCATTTAGTATTCATTTCCATAAACATAACTCTAGTATTGTGATCTCTCCGATTACACAGTTTAGCAGTTCAAAAAGTTACCTATGAATAAACTATAAGTGGACGAGAGAGCCAGAAAATACAGGACAATTTTTCTTCAGTATGACTCAAAATGTAGAATAAATAAGGGAAAAGGTTGACACATAAAACACTTTGAATAGCAAAGAATAGCATCAACAAAAACAAACTGAACAAATAAAAACTAAGTTTGGCTGGGTGGGATGGCTCATGCCTGTAATCCCAGCACTTTGGGAGGCTGAGGCAGGCAGATCACATGAGATCAAAAGTTTGAGCCCAGTCTGACCAACATGGAGATACCCCGTCTCTACTAAAAATACAAAATTGGCTGGGCATGGTGGTGTACACCTGTAATCCCAGCTACTTGGGAGGTTGAGGCAGGAAGATCACTTGAACCCGGAAGGCAGAGGCTGCAGTGAGCTGAGATCGCCCTGTTGCACCCTAGCCTGGGCAACAAGAGTGAAACTCCGTTTCAAAAAACAAACAAACAAACGAAAACTATGTTTGACAATAGACTTCGTTGGTGAGGCTGTGTGGTAGTAGGCACCCTCACACGTTGGTGAAAATGCAAAGCAGGACAACCACACTGGCGGGACACTGGCACAGAGTCATCAATGCCACTTCCAAGAGTCTAGCCCAAAGATGCACCTGGGCAGAAACAGGGAATGATGTATGCATAAACTTATCATGGCGCTATTTATAATCACGAAAACCTGGAAACAACCCTAAACGTCCATCAGCAGGGGAATGACTGAATAAACTGTGGTATTACATAAAATGGTATACCAGCCAGTTTCAAAAAGAAAAGAGAAAAACCCCTATGAACTGCCATAGAGTGATTGCCAGGATGCATGGTTAAACGAAAAATGCAGTCACAGAAGAGTTCTTCACCATTTGGGATTACATTAAATTATTTGTGAGACAGCATCTCACTCTGTCGCCCAGGCTGGAGTGCAGTGGTGTGATCCTGGCTCACTGCAGCCTCAACCTCCCAGGCGCAAGAGATCTTCCCGCCTCAGCTTCCCGAGTAGCTGGGACTACAGGTGTGAGCTACTATGCCTGGAAAACTCTGCTACTATCTGGATAAGAAAGATGGGTAAATAAAAATATACATATTTGCTTTTCCATAAAATAAGGAAAGATAAACCAAAGACTAACAACAATGGTTATATATAAACAAAGTGGCGGGCCAGGTGCACTGGCTCACGCCTATAATCCCAGCACTTTGAGAGGCCCAGCTGGATGGATCGCTTGAGGTCAGGAGTTTGAGACCAGCCTAGTCAATGTGGCGAAACCTTGTCTCTACTAAAAATACAAAAATTGGCCAGGCATGGGGCCGTGTGCCTGTAATCCCAGATACTCAGGAGGCTGAGGCAGGAGAATCCCTTGAATCCAGGAGTCAGAGGTTGCAGTGAGCCGAGATCCTGCCACTGCACTTCCAGCCTGGGTGACAGAGTGAGACTCCATCTCAAAAAACAAACAAAGGAAAGTGGGAGAAAAGGACAGCACAAAAGCTAGATTTTTCTGAATATTCCTTGTTTTATAGTTTTGATTTCAGAACTAAATTTTTTTTTTTACAAAATTAGTTAAAAAAACAAAACCAATTCTCTAAAAGTTCAAAATAAACAGAAAGAAATAAACTTTTTTTTTTTGAAACAGTCTTGCTTTGTTGCCCAGGCTGGAGTGCAGTGGCATGATTTTGGCTCACTGCAACCAACCTTGACCTCCCAGGTTCAAGCGATTCTCGTGCCTCAGCCTCCCAAGTAGCTGGGATTACAGGCATGTGCCACCATGCCCAGCTAATTTTTGTATTTTTAGTAGAGACAGAGTTTTGCCATGTTGGCCAGGCTGGTCTTGAACTCCTGGCCTCCAGTGATCGGCTGCCTTGGCCTCCCAAAGTGCTGGGATTACACACATAAGCCACCATGCCTAGCCAGAAACAAATAAACTTGTTTATCAAGTTAATGGCACAAGCACCAAGACTTACTTCAAGTGACTTTAAGATATTTGAATTTTATACTCTCAGATATAATCTGACAATAATGTTATTAAGAACCAAGACTTTTAGCATCAGAGAAAAGAAAACAAAGTTAGCAGGGCATGGTGGTGCATGCCTATAAACCCCAACAATTTTGGTGGCTGAGTCGGGAGGATGGCTTGAGACCAGAAGTTCAAGACCAGCCTGGACAACATGGGGAAATCCAGGCGCTACAAAAAAAAAAAAACAGAAAAAAAGTGCTGGGATTATAGGCGTCGGCCACTGCATCTAGCCCCCCACTTTGTTTATATATAACCATTATTGTTAGTCTTTGGTTTATCTTTCCTTATTTTATGGAAAAATACTTAATCTGATAAGATTGGTGATATTAATGAATGTCATTCTGTAACAGATTAAGATAATAAATTGTAATTTCTGCTTAAAATCTAGAATTTTGGTCAAAAATAATCACTTCATTCATTTTTGAGAAAATGCCTGCCAAATACCTAATTTTGAATAATCACAGTTTTTCTGTCACTTTTTTCCAAGTAAAAAGTGGCCAATGCAGCTGCTTTGCGTCTCAATTGCACAAGCACTCTCCTCATACCTGGATATAAGACAAGCTTCATATCCTGGGATGTGGCGGAAGCACTTTATGAAGACTTCATTTTATTACACAGAATATTGAAAAGATGTTTTCAAGGGTCAAAATTTGGTAAAATAATTTTTACTGCTTTATCAAAGACATTTTTAGGTGAAACTGGTGTGTCTTAAAAATGTAAGCTCATGGTGGTGAAGAAAACAAAGATTATGAGGATGGCTCTATGCCACTGGTCTGATTTATGCCAAGGCACCACTGCTTTGCTTCTGCTGGTACAAATTCAATATGGGGAAAAAGCAAATACAGCTGACCTTGATCAACAGAGGTGTGAACTGTGGGGACCCACCTATGTGCTCGTTTTCTTCTGCTGCTGCCACCCTGAGACAGCAAAACCAGCACACCCCTCCTCCTCAGCCTACTCAACGTGAAGACCATGAAGATAAAGACCTTCTCATGCTGACCCACACTACCATTTAATGAATACTAAATATAGTTTCCTTATCATTTTCTTAATAACATTTTCTTTTCTCTAGCTTACCTTACTGTAAGAATACAGCATGTAATACACAAAACATACCAAACGTGTTCATCGACTGTTATGGGTAAGGCTTCCTGTCAACAGCAGGCTGTTCACAGTGAAGTCTTGGGGCAATCAAACATTATATGCAGACTTTCAACTGCACAGGGGGAAGCACTCCTAACTCTCATGTTGTTCAAGGGTCACTGTAATGTCTTGGTATAGTTATAAGAGGTTTGATCTCGTAGACCCCCAAGAGAGTCTTGGGAAACCCAGGGATCTCTGGGTCACACTTTGGGAGCCACTGGTTTAGAAGATACTTATTAAACAATCAATATATACATTCCAGCTGACTTGCACATTTGATACTGTATTTAGAAAAATCAAAGGGTGAAATGGAACCGAGGCTTAGGGAGGAAGTGAAACAGATACATTAAGCTCCAATTAAAATTTTCTAACATAAAGCCGATTTATGAAACCACAAACATAAGTATTATGACAAAACCCACGTTTTTTCTTTTAAAAATTTTGCATATATTCAAATTCACCACTCTGAAGAAAAGGGAAATCTTAAAAGACAGTTTTGTACTAACTAAACCCTAACAGCAAACCAGAATCCCAGAAACACACCCCAAGACCAGAGCACATCTTCCTACCTCTGCCATCTCTTTGATTTTCTGCTCATAGAACTCCTGCTCTTGTTGCACAGCTGGAAGGAGAGCATGCCGGTCATAGGACCTACAATGTCGTCGCTTATTTTCAAAACAGAAGATCCTCTTTTCTATTTTTATGTCACCTAGAAGATATATGACAATGCAAAAGCATGCAGACAACTGTGTGTTAGGAATCTGGGCCAGCCATGTCCATTCTTTCCGGCTTCATCCTCCCTGTTCTCTCTGGTGGTACGTTTCATGACTTCTCTATCACACTCTACCATTTGGGAAGACTGGGCTTCTTACCATTTGCCAACCTACTATCCATTTTTTGACCTTTCTGGTTCTTTCCCTCTGTTTATGCTCCATTGGAAGGCATCTCCTATTCTGTCACTAGTGTACTATGGGAATGTACCACAATTTATTATCTATTTCACTACTGAGGACATTTGGGTTTACTGTTTTGGGTTAATCTGAATAGTGCTGCTTACAGCCATGTGTTGGTGAATGTATGTCTGCAATTTAGCTGGGAATTGCTAGATTATGGGATAGGCTTACTTCCAGCTTTAGAAAATAATGCCAGTGTTCCAAAGTGGTTGTACCAGTTTACACCCTTCCTCCATCAGCAATGCATGTGAGTTCCAGTCTCTCCATGTCCTTACAACACCTATCATCGGTTTTTAATTTTAGCCATTCTGGTGGGTGCAAATGTGCCATATGTTTTTCAACCATTTTTATTTTGAAAGCATTCAAATATATAAGGGGTGGAAGGAATAGTACCTAGATTCACCACAGTATATTATAACATGAGAATAAAAGCAAGCAGAATGACAAATATCAGACATATAATTGATCTGTTTAGGTTCCGTATTTCTTTTGCTGATTTGGCAAATTATGATTTTCTTTTTGGAGACAGAGCCCCGCTCTGTTGCTCAGGCTGGAGTGCAGTGGCACATTCATAGATCACTGCAGCCTTGACTCCTGGGCTCAGGTGATCCTCCCGCCTCAGCCTCCTAAGGAGGTGGGACTATAAAGGCAGATGCCACCACGCCCAGTTAATTTTTTTGTATTTTTTTAGAGATGGGATTTTTCCCGTGTTGTCCAGGCTGGTCTTGAAGTCCTGGGCTCAAACCATCCACCAGCCTTGGCCTCCCAGCCACCAGCCTTGGCCTCCCAAAGTGCTGGGATTACAGGTGTGAGTCACAATGCCTGACCAATTTATATTTTCCTAGAAAACTTTCTCTCATCCAGATTTTCAATGTACTCTTGTCTTTTCTTGGTAATCTCTTGATTTTAACATTTACTATCTGGTTCCTAATACATTTTATTTTGATTCTCCTTTTCTCTTGCTCATTCTCACATTTTTTTAAATTCAAACTTTTTCTTCAGAAAACCAGTTTTTGGGGCCAGGCGCAGTGGCTCACGCCTGTAATCCCAGCACTTTGGGAGGCCAAGGACGGCACATCATCTGAGGTGAGGAGTTCAAGACCAACCTGTACAACATGGTGAAACCCCGTCTCTACTAAAAATACAAAAATTAGCCAGGCGTGATGGCACACACCTGTAATTAATCCCAGCTACTTGAGAGGCTGAGGCAGGAGAACTGCTTGAGCTTGGGAAGCAGACTCCGTCTCAAAATTAAAAACAAAACAAAACCAGTTTTTGGTATTATGAGAATAGAAAAGCACATGATTAGAGAGTAAGCTTTGAACCCAGATTCCCAGCTCGGCTACTTGCTAGCTGTGTAACATGTGCCAAGTTACTTAACCTCTCTGAGCTTCAGTTTTTTTTCTACAAAATGATAATAATGGCACATACATCTCATAAGGTTATTTGAAACATAAACGAATTAATCCATTAAAGCACTTAGAAAAGTGACTGGTACATATTAAGTGCTAAATAAATGTTAGTTATTATAATTATCAATGCTACAAATTAAAAAAAAAATTCCACCCTCTATTATTTCTTTTGTCTTTACTCAGTTCTTTTTGTAGTTTATCATGTTAAAGTAGTAAGATTTATTTTCAGTCCTTTAATTTTATTTATTTACTTTTTTAGAGACAGAGTCTTGCTCTGTCACCCAGGCTGGAGTGCAGTGGCGTGATCTTGGCTCACTACAAACTCTGCCTCCCAGGTTCACGCCATTCTCCAGCCTCAGCCTCCCAAGTAGCCGGGACTACAGGTGCCCACCACCACACCTGGCTAATTTTTTTGTATTTTTAGTAGAGATGGGGTTTCACTGTGTTAGCCAGGATGGTATCGATCTCCTGACCTCGTGATCCGCCTGCTTCGGCCTCCCAAAGTGCTGGGATTATAGGCGTGAGCCACTGCGCCTGGCCTCAGTCCTTTATTTTTAAAAATAAATGCGATTAAGTCTACACACTTCCCTCTAATTTATTTTCCTGAAGGACCATAAAAAGGACAGAGGAGGGAGAACCCTGTCTCACTCTGAGTCAAGCAATTATAGCCCAAAGAGCAGTGCTTAGATGGAAAACAAACTGAATAGGAAAAAAATGGGATGCCTGGAACAGATAAGGGATTCTTAGCCTGTGACCTTATAAAAAGCTGTTAAAAAAGGCTAAGTATGAGTCATAAACATTAAACTACTAACATAAATCAAGTGTATTTTTTATCTCATACTTACAGGGTCCTTAAAGATTATCTGATAATTAAATTTAAGACTCAGCATCTAAATTAAAGTGCTATACCTAAAACAAGGGACTGAATCAAATAAAATGAAGTTAACAGAGAAAAATGTGAGATGCAGCGAAACTGAGAGAGTAATATGACCTGACAGCAATGTGGGTGAAAAGAGCAAGGCTGAATGTGAGCAGACCTCATGTGGAGTATGATGTCCAGTCTTCTACACCCCAACTTTCAAAAAGACCCTGACAAGCTAGAGAAGGGCACGTAGGGACAGGGAGAAGGGCAGTCAGGCTGACGAAGGGGTAACAGCCAGAATCTGTCTCTCCACAGGCAAGAACTACAACCACGGCTGGAAACTTCAGGAAGTACATGCTGACTTAATACAAAGGAAGAACTGTCTAAAAGACGGAGCTGACCAACAAAGGAGTCAACTATCTTGCAAAGTAGCACTTTCTCCACCACTGAAGTCAGAAACAAACACTGTATGGCTATGTACAAGGATGCCTGCTCTGAACTGTGGGTAAATTTGGCTGAATGAAAAACCACCTGCACAGTGCCCCTAGTTCTACATTCTGCCACAGGCCAGGAGAATGTCATGTCAGCAGGGCACTGCTCCACAGACTGGCTTAGGAACCTCAGGAGTCATAACCTAAGGGATTTGCTTTTAGATCCTGAAAAGTTCATAGCAAATACAAATACTGCCGGGCACGGTGGCTCACGCCTGTAATCCCAGCACTTTGGGAGGCCAAGGCGGGTGGATCACGAGGTCACGAGATCGAGACCATCCTGGCTAACATGGTGAAACTCCGTCTCTACTAAAAAATACAAAAAACTAGCTGGGCGTGGTGGCAGGCACCTGTAGTCCCAGCTTCTTGGGAGGCTGAGGCAGGAGAATGGTGTGAACCCGGGAACCAGAGCTTACAGTGAGCTGAGATTGTGCCACAGCACTCCAGCCTGGGCGACAGAGCAAGACTCTGTCTCCAAAAAAAATAAATAAATAAAAAGCAAATACAAATACTTTCCAGCTTTATATAGTCACCTGAGTTTCCACTTAGTCATACCTGAAATCAAGTGTGGTAATTAAGTGCACACATAACAGAAAGGGATGATCTCTAGAAAAGTTGTAGTAACTCCTTTACTGGGTAGAAGCAACTCAGATAAAATCTGAGTTGTTATAAAACTCAAGTTTACATTTCTGGGGATGAGACCTGAAGTAACCTCTTCGAAAGGGTTTTCAGCAGTTATTTCATCAGTAAGAATGACAGAATTTTGGAGAAACGTGTGGCTATTGGCCGTTCTCTCAGTTGCATAAGTGACCCTCTGCAGTAAGGCCTCATTCATAAGTCTGGGTAGTTTTTACCTAACAACACAGCCAATTCTCATCAAACTTTCAAGACCAGTTTTTCCCCCAAGCTTAAGAGCATATTCAAATACTTTCTCACACATGAATTTTCTACCATACAAAATTTTCCTGCCATGGTTTATCTTAAGTAGGAAGAAGGAAGCCAACAAGTGCAGCCACTTTCTGAAAATTTTGATGTGCTTAGAAAATAGTTCCTGTCAGTCACTCCTTGGACTGGCCTGGCCAGATGCTCAGCAGATGGCAGACACCTGTAGCACGGCTTCCTTCACTGACTGTGAAGAAGAAAAGATACAGTGTTGCAGCTACACACTGCCAGCAACACAGTTTACATTACCTTGTTCAAACTTGAAATCGATGTAAGAATACTGGTTCATTTCTTTTCTCTTGATGTAAGAATACTGGTTCATTTCTTTTCTCTTCTTCCTTTTTCCACCGGTTTCTGGTGATAGCTCCTGACATTTTTTCATGGCATCAGAAAAGGCCTAAAAATTGAGAAAGCGAGAGGTTACTTCTGTAAATGGAAAGTAAGAATACACAAGACAGGCAATCCCCAAATGCCATTTTAACACATCTTCAGCTTTCTTCCCAGCACGGTTAACAATAGGTAGTGGCGGCTGGGTGCGGTGGCTCATGCCTGTAATCCCAAAACTTTGGGAGGCCGAGGTGGGTGGATCCTTTGAGGTCAGGAGTTCAAGACCAGCCTGGCCAACATGGTGAAACTCCATTTGTACTAAAAATACAAAAATTAGCTGGGTATGGTGGTGCACGCCTGTAATCCCAGCTACTCAGGAGGCTGAGGCAGGAGAATGGCTTGAACCCGGGAGGCGGAGATTGCAGTGAGCCAAGACTGCACCACTGCAATCCAGCCTGGGTGAAAGAGTGAGACTATGTCTCAAAAAAAAAAACAACAACAAAAAGAACAGGCAGTGGTAAATAGGCAGAATTTATTTTCATTTTCTCTGACTTTCATAAACTGGTACAGTGGTGGAAGCAAAACACTTAATGACAGATTAAAGAGTAACTACGGAAAAGAAAAACTGTTGGCAGGGTGCAGCGGCTCACACCTGTAATCCTACCAACTGTGGGAGGCTGAGGGGGATGGATCACTTGAGCTTAGGAGTTCAAGGCTAGCCTGGGCAACATGGGAACACCCTATCTCTACTAAAAATACAAAAAGACAGCTGGGAGTGGTGGTCCACAGCTGTGGTCCCAGGTACTCAGAGGCTAAGGTAGGACAATCACTTGAGCCTGAGAGGCAGGGTTGCAGTGAACCATGATTGCGCCACTACACTCCATCCTAGGTAACACGGGAGACCCTGTCTCAAATAAAACAAAACTGTCCAAGCTGTCCTTGAATAAGTACAGGTTAAATCACACAATGGGCTGGTGAGTTCCATTCTGTAGGTAAATCTTCCATGTTGTTTCTCTGGTTAATGCTCCTCTTTACTCACCCCTAACCTGCTTCCCCCATGCTCTTCTCTGAGTGTACCTATATCCACCCTACCCTTGGACAGGATGCTGAAGTATAAAATCCTTCCACTGGTGAGGATCCCTTTTCTTTCCTACCTTCAGCTTCTCCCTCTTAGATTTTGCTTATCAGGATTTAAATGCATTCAAGTCAGGGAGGCTCACGCCCAGGTTGGCTCATGCTTGTAATCCCATCACTTTGGGAGGCTGAGGCAGGTGGATCATGAGGTCAGGAGTTTGAGACCAGCCTGGACAACATGGCAAAACCCTGTCTCTACTAAAAATACAAAAAAATTAGCTGGACGTTGTGGCATGCGCCTGTAATCCCAGCTACTTGGGAGGCTGAGGCAGGAGAATCGGTGAACCTGGTAAGCGGAGGTTGCATGAGCTGAGATCGTGCCATTGCACTCCAGCTTTGGCAACAGAGCGTGATTCTGTCTGGGGAGAAAAAAAAAAAAGTGCTCAAGTCTTTGCCATCCTAAAAAAAGGAGGGAGAAGGGGTACCTGATTTGAACAGGAAGGAGGGGTGTGTGAGGTAGGGCCATTCTGCCTGGAAGAGAAGAAGGAAGAGTGGGAGCCTTTCAGGAAGACTGGGTGGGACTCCTGAGTGTGGCAGGGGGTAGGTGGCCTTGGGGCTCACATCCTGTGGCTACATTGTTAGGATGCAGGGCAGGCTGGGGTCCAAGCCTGGGCGGCATGAGAAGGGGGGTGGCTATGATGGCAGTGTTTGTCTGAAACTCCTGCTGAAACTTAATCCCCAGTGTGGCAGTGTTGAGAAGGTGATCTCATCTCTCTTTCAATGCCAGCCCCTCTTTCTTCTTCCCCTCTTTGTAGAGAAACTTATCAAAGGAGCTGTTTATCTTCTGTTTCACCACCTCCACCTTATGACCACAAGCTTTCCAGCTGTCTCTAATCTGGCACCTACCCTGCCTTTGCACTTACTAATCTATGCTTATTATTGAGTGGTCAAGTCTACAAGTCTACCATCTGCATTTTAGTCCTCATCTTGCACAATCTCTTAGCAGTATTTAGTAACAGGCTGGGCATGGTGGCATCCCAGTGCTTTACGAGGTTGAGGTGGGAGGACAGCCTGAGGTCAGGAGTTCAAGACCATCCTGCACAATCTAGCAAGACCCCATTTCTACCAAAAACAAAATAAAAAGATCATCCAGGTGTGGTGGTATGCACCTATAGTCCTAGCTACATGGGAAGCTGAGGCAGGAGGATGGCTTGAGCCCAGAAGGTCAAGGTTGCAATAAGCCATGATTGTGCCACTGTATTCCAGCCTGGGTAACAGAGAGAGACCCTGTTACTAAACAAGAATAACAATGATGATGATGATGATAATACAGACTGCTCCAGTCTCACAACTTCCTCCTTCCTGTCTGCCTGCCTCCTCCGCTTGCTCTTCACATGTCACCAGTCCTCTCTTCTCACCTGGTATCTCTGGGTACCTCATCCTGGCTGGTGAGATTTTCCATATGCTAATGACTCTCAAAGTCCTATCACCATAAAACCCAAGGAGACACACACACACACACACACACACACACACACACACACAAACCTAAAAACCTATCTACAGTCTGTATTTTCCAAACTTTTTAGTCCATTCAACCTTCCAGTGAATTATTTTTACTTAGATGTCTCACAGGCCCTTCTCAGCACACTGGCAACCAGTGTTTCCCAGACTGAATTCATGATTATTTCCCTCCAAAGCAGATGTTTATACTAGTTCTCACCCCAACAAATGATACCAACATCTTCCACCAAACTCCTACTTGGGTCTGTGATTAAATGTTCCCTGCTCAGGGAGGCCCTTCTGGAGACCCTTGGTCTACCTTAGGTTGCCTCCTGTTTTACCCTTTCAAAGCCCCTCTATTTTTCTTTCAGTCTTTTTTTGGCCGGGCATGGTGGCTCATGCCAGTAATCCCAGCACTCTGGGAGGCTGAGGAAGGTGTATCATCTGAGGTCAGGAGTTGCTGATCAGCCTGGCCAACATGGTGAAACCCTATCTTTACTAAAAATACAAAACTCAGCCAGGTGTGGTGGTGAGCATCTGTAGTCCCAGCTACTCAGGAGGCTGACACAGGAGAATCGCTTGAACTGGGGAGGCAGAGGCTGCAGTGAGCCAAGATCACGCCATTGCACTCCAGCCTGGGTGACAGAGCGAGACTCCATCTCAAAAAAAAAAAAAGGTGGAAGGGGCTTGGCCTACCTCAGCATGAGCCACAGTCCTCGGCTTGGTTCTTCCCTTCCTACAGGTAAAACCCAATGAGTATTTTAACCACTACGATAAAGCCAAGGTCTCTGCTGGTGCACGCACTCCTGTTCTGGCCACAGCTACAGAGCGGGCACCGTGTGCTGTCCTTCATGGAAGATGTCTGTGTTACCACCACGAACCAGCACCCTTCTCACCCTTAACAAAGGCCTTTAAGTGCTATCTATTTTAGGATCCTGTGGGGAGAACGGTGGGAGCTGTCAGTAGCTGCCCATTCTTGTTCCCGGACTCTTTACAGACCTTACGTCCTATCACTGATAACTGAGCCATCTGGGGGATGGATGGTCATGTGACCTGTCCCAAGTCGGAAAGCAAATCAGGAAGAAGCAGGATTAGAACACATCTTTCATACTCCTGCATTCCACACTAGAATGTATTACCCTCCATGTTTTTATGGTCAAACCAGAGCTTCTCTGCTTCTCATCTATCTATTATTTCTTTTCATTTAGCCCTTCAGGACCAGCAAATACCTATTTATCTTCACCCTAACTCCTTAGCAATCATAAACCATCCCAATTTCCACAAGCTGGACTGTTCATTCTGTTATCATGGGAAGATATAGCCAAGAGGTGTGACCCCAAGAGGAAGACCAAGTAGAGCACCTTTCGGGTGATTGCATAGTGTCCTTTGAGCTCGTGCAGGGCCCACTTGATGTCCTGACTACTGAGCATTTTGAAGTCGGCCATGAGGAGGTCAGCAGCTTGGATGAAGCAGCGCTGGTCAAGAGGAGTCAATTTAGAATAGTCAAAAAAGTCTATTTTAGGCAACTGAAACGAGAGAGAAGCATAAAATCAGAGGCCAGGCAGTACATTTCCCATGTAAGGGAAATCATTTTAAGAATTACATGTGTAGAAAAGAATAATGTTTGTTCTAATTACTCTATAAGGAAGTTACCAGCCCTATAAGAGAGATGAGAAAATGGTGGCTCAGAGAGGTTAAACGAACCTGTCTGGAGCCAACAGACTAGTTTTACTAGTTATAACTAGTAAAGAAGTATAGTTGGGGATTTAAACCAATCTTTCAGCCATCTTCTTTCCATAACATATTTACAAACAACTATTTTTTCCTATTATAGAATATGTAAGAGATATAATCAAAGAATCTATGGGGAGTTGGAAGATCAAGCAACAGATCTTAATAAAGTTAGTTCTCAACCATACTTTACCATATAATACACTAAATGCCAGTTTGGATCACAAATAATGACAATGATTAAAGTTTTTAAAAACCAAACTGTTTACATCTTGATATGAGATCTGGTTAAACAGATGTATAGTATACACTGTATACAAATCTCACATTAAAAGAAAAAAGATATTCAACTCTAGGTAACGATCTGCATGCTGACGTATTTGCAGGGAAGTGTACTGATGTTTTTGTAATTTACTTTGAAATGCATTATAATGAAATGAAACATAACAAAGATGTGCTGATGGACAGACAGAGGACATATGTATGATAAAGAGGACAGAGTAAACTGTTAACTTCCTAGTAGCACCAGTGGTGGTAGGGATATAGGTGATCGACGTAAAATATTTCAACTTTTCTGTAGGTTTGAAAATTTTCATAATAAAATATTAGTGTCCTGGCCAATTCTTGGAATTTGCTTTGTAGGATTAAAGATATGGAGGATTCGTTTAATTCTTTGTGGGAAAAGGAAGATAAGAATTACAAGGAAAGATAGAAGTTAAAGACAGAATTCAGAGTGGCTCAGAATGGGAGATCGCACTGAAGTATAGACATATTCTGAAATCCTATGTCCCTCTGCTAGTCTTTAAAAACTTGTCCCAACAAAGCACTTTCTTCCCATACAGATAACAACAACAACAACAACAAAGCAGGGCATTTCCAGGTAGCGACTGCAAAACAAGAACACGACACTTGCCTTTGTCTCATCCTGGCTGGCCAGCAGACTGCTACTGGGATTTATAATGATTCTATCTTCTCTCTTTGGATAATCTGGGATTTCCAGAAGAAAATTACAAAGTACGCAAAAACAAATGATGTTACTTTCATACTGCTTCCAAATCCCACACCTGCCCATTGCTTCAAATGCAATGTTTGAAGGATATAGTCCTTAGTCACACATTACAACTGGCCTATCAAGAAATTAAGATGTGTGCAGCCCAGAAAAACTAAACAGATAAATAAACAAACAAGTGCATTGAATTCCTATCTTTGTGGAACAGAAAAAATTTAAAAAGCAATGAACATACTGATTAAGGCAAACTCCTCTGAAGTTTAGGTATCAGTTAGGTGTTAATGTAATGAAGTCACTGAAACTATTATTGGTTAAACTTCAAAATTGGAAAATTTGTAAGAAAAGTAGCTATTCTTTGTCAAGAAAACTATGAACAAGTAAGAAGTGGAAAACTGTATTCACATTTACAGTAAAAAACAGTCTGCTAAGAAATGTAATAAATAAATGAAATATAAAAGATCTTCTGTTAATTCATTAATACTTTTTATACCCCTCTGGTAACATAAATCTCTACAGTAATATAAAGCTCTACGAGCCACTGAGTTATACTCGGTTTATTTAGCTAGCTGTTAAGCTAGACTGATGAATAGACCATGTTTTCCTACGAACAGACACTCTTCACACCAAACCCATTAGCTTTGTCTATTATCACCATGAAATACTTCCAAAGTAAGGATATATAGAGTGAGATAACACACACTGATGTATCACCACCCAGACCCAACAAATATTAACTATTCAGGCTCTTCACAGCCAAATCAGACAACCACCTTGGAACAACTGCACAGTACTGAAGACAGAGTGAGTGGGGTACAGCTCTAGCCACATTCAGTAGCAAGGAAGTTCCTTTGCTCAGAGGTTAATGGGGACTTCCCCTTTTCTCTGTTCTTTCTCTTGCTCCAGTAGATTCCTAGGATGAACCCCTAGGTGCTATACCTGCAATTCTCACACACCTCCTTTCTACTGATTCTCTTTTGCCAGATGTCAATAGTAAGGCCTATAACAGTAGGACAGGAGGTCTGGCAGAAAGAGGGCAGAAAAAAAGTGTCCAGCTCTGGCTCCTTTTCTCACCCAGGTGCCAGTGTTTGGGGACTGGTTTACATAGGTTCGTTTATTCTGCAACCCCCGCCAGGGACCCATATCAAAGCGCTCTCGCTCATCCTGACATCTCACTGCATTTCCTTTTGCCATTACTTCTGGGAGTCCCATACACTTTTTGTCTCTAAGCTCCCCGCTTCCCTACCACCACAGCCTGCCCAGTCTATGGAACACAACACTAGAGGCCCAAAGAGAGGAAAAAAAGCAGGAAACTCCTCCTATTACAGAGGGAGACAAGAGTTCAGAGTACATTTTCCTTTAAAACCATTGTAATCAGTGGTAATTCTCTGTCCTAGAATTCACTGGTGTGCACTGAGGTTATGCAAACCTTTGAAGGCTGACCTGAGAATTAGCCACCAGCAAAAATCCTGTCTGTAGGGAAAGTCCTGAGTTCCAGACAACTCATTACATGTGCATATTTAACGTGGCGACAAACCAGACACGAACTAGCTTTAAAATGGTCTGTTTTCACATGTTTTCTTAAGTACATGATACATAAATACACTACATGAAATACAGGTGGAACAGTAGATATGATTTCTTGAAAAAACAACAAACATGTTTGAGAGGTTCATCTCTCCCCAATTCATTTTATATTCTCAACAATACTAAGAACTTCAAACACTGAAATGCTACAGATACGATTCCACATGGCAGAAATCAGAAGCTCTCACTATAAACTGTAAGAATTCATTTCTAGTTTAATCCCTTCATTATGCTTACCAACAGAACTGTTCTGGAGGTTAAGTGATATTTGGAGGCCCAGAAAATGAAGGACAAAGAAAGGACAGGACAAATGAAGGAGAGAAACAAGTGGTAGCCTCTGTTCTAATATCTGCACCCTGGGGCAAAAGCAGTGGGGAAGCCTGTCAGACTTCAATCTGCCCACCTCTTCATATGATGTCATGCTTAAGCTGATTTGACATGCTAGCAGATCTAAGGAAGGCACTCCTGCAAAGTAAGCCAGGCTAGTACTCCAACCTTTTTTTTTTTTTGAGACGGAGTCTCGCTTTGTTGCCCAGGCTGGAGTGCAGTGATGTGATTTCAGCTCACTGCAAGCTCCGCCTCCCGAGTTCATGCCATTCTCTCGCTTCAGCCTCCCGAGTAGGTGGCACTACAGGCACCTGCCACCACACCTGGCTAATTTTTTTGTATTTTTAGTAGAGACGGGGTTTCACCGTGTTAAACAGGATGATCTCGATCTCCTGACCTTGTGATCCGCCCATTTTGGCCTCCCAAAGTGTTGCGATTACAGGCGTGAGCCACCGCACCCAGCTGTACTCCAACCTTTCAACCCTTAGATAGCTGTTGCTGCCTTCATCCAACTGAAGTTGACCCTGTGTGAGTGAAAGGTCTAAGTTAACCAGCCAGAGTAGATTACCTGCCATGTGGTTCTCCACAGGCCCTTCCTGCTTAAAATGTCCAGATGGTTCCATTTGAAGGCCATTTAAAGACACACATAAAGCAACTGAGACTGAGCTACAACAAAATCCCAGGCTGCTCAACCCAGCTTTGGGCCTTATTTCCAGTTTCCATTAACATTTTAGTTTAGTTGTGGAATTAACATTGCCCTAGGAGTCCAGAGACTAATGGAAAGGAAAGCAGTCTCAGGAAAACAAGATTGGCTTGAAAAAAAGCAATACACGGACTGTACATTCCCCTGCTTTTTGGATTTCACGAGAATTTGCATGTGTTTAAGGATCAATATTTGCTTCTGAGTGACACAAAAAGCACAGAGGGTGAGCAAGTCCCTAAAAATAAGTACACGTGTGAGACTCAGGAAGTAGGAGAACAGAACTGTAACAGAAGGTGTCAATTTGATTACATTTTAGTGATTTTTATAGACAATCTTGAAGATATATTTAAACATGATGTTCATTTGCAGAAGGAGAGAAAAACATTGAAGTATACTCAATTTTGATGAGGTTAAATTGTTAAAAAATACTAAAATATGGTATCTGGTATTCAAATCATTGTTCTATAAATGAGCTAAGTTTATACTTTTCTCTATCATTTACATTTTCTGTAATGAATAAACCAGTATTCCATTTCACAACCAGGAAAACATTAACCAAAAAAAAAAGGGAATTCAAAGAGAAGAGAGATGTAAACAATTCACACAAGGGAAATACAATTAGTAAACAAATATATGAAAAACACAGCCAATTATCAAAGAAACGTCACTTATGCTACTTTATGCCTACCCTAGTTAACTACAAAAAATAACATCATAACTCAGTAATGTCGAAGAGCTGTTAAAGCAATTCACACATATAAGTTGTTTTAAATGAGTGGAAGTCTACGAGAAAGTTTTCATTGTAAAAATGTAGTCATTGCTGCTCAATTTTCCTGTAAACCTAAAACTGCTCTAAAAAATGAAGCTTAGTAATTTTAAAAAATGTAGTTATTATCATGCCACTTAGAAGCCCAAAAAGAAAGTACTTTAAAAGCTTAGGAGGGAAAAAAATCTCCAACAAACAATTCTGCTGGAAGACAGCAAACACAGCCAACAGGAAGGTGGATGCCAGGGCGTGGGGCAAGTAGAGTTCAGGAGACAAGCAGGAGAATGTTCACAGCTACATTATTTGTGACAGTCAGAATTCAAATCCCTATCAAAAGTAGATGGAAAATTTCATTGCTAAGTGGTATAAATGGAATACCACTTAGCAATGAAAAATATATAAACTATGGTTCCACCCAACATGAATAAACCTCACAAACATAATGCTGAGCGAAAAGAAGTCAGACTCAAAAGACTATAGACTATACAAAATCTTTATGTAGTGTTCAGAGAGGATAGCAATGTTCTATTTCTTGAAGATTTCTGGGTTGTGGTTACATAAATTTTTGGATTGTGATAAATTATTGAGCTGTGCATCTTTAATTTGTTTACTTTTTTTTCTTTACATATATTATAAACACACTGGTATACAATAACCAAGTTTAAAAACTATACACAATAAAGAATATGTGGAAAGCCTTGAGAAGAGTAACTGGCATGTAAATAACAAAATGGCTTTCTTTCCTCACTGTATGGAAGGTTAAATACCCAGGTAGAGTCTCTCACTGAAAAATAAAAAATGCTTTAAGAGTTTGGGTAATCCAAGCTGGGTGAGGTAACACATGCCTGTAATCCCAGCTATTCGGGAGCTGAGGCAGGAGAATCATCTGAACATGGGAGGCTAAGGTTGCAGTGAGCCAAGATCATGCCATTGCACTCCAGCTTGGGCGACAACGGCAAAACTCCGTCTCAAAAAAAAAAAAAAAAAAAAACCAACTATATCAAGAACTCAAGACATGAGCTTAGAGTCAAACAAGAAAATGAGGCACCACGGGAGCCAGCAGGAAGAACAGAATATGATTCCCAAGAACTTAACACATCAGAACAATCAAACTCACAAAGAAACTAGGTTTATTGTTTAAAGAAATAAAAGAAAAAAAAAAGACTAAAAATAAAGTCAAAGAGCAAAACTCTAGGAAAATAACCAAGAGAATTAAAAGCTAAAATATCATAACTGAAAAACAGTAACAGTGGATGAGTTAAAAGATTACACTCTGCTGAAGAGAAATTTGTGGGCTAGAAGACACCTGTGAAGAAATTGTCCAGAATGCATCTCAGAGACAAAGAGGTGAACTTAGAGACATGGAGATTGTGGGAGAAGAGTTACAGAAGACAGGAAACAGCTACAAAATTTCCAGAACTGACCAACATCATCAATCTACAGCTTGGTAGTATATACTCTTAATGGTTTTGCCTTACTGAGAAGCATGTTAAGTAAAATTGATAAAGATTAAGGGAAGGCCAGGTGAAGTGGCTCACACCTGTAATCCCAGCACTTTGGGAGGCCGAGGTAGGTGGGTCACCTGAGGTCAGGGGTTCAAGACCAGCCCGGCCAACATGGGAAACTCCATCTCTACTAAAAATACAAAAATTAGCCAGACATGATGGCGCATCCCTGTAATCCCAGGTACTTGGGAGGCTGAGGCAGGAGAATCACTTGAACCTGGGAGATGGAGGCTGAAGTGAGCTGAGATCGCACCATTGCACTCTAGCCGAGGTGACAGAGTGAGACTCCATCTCAAAAATAAATAAATAAATAAATATCTGATGACAGTGGTTGTACAGAGGTGGGATCAGACAAGGCCACTACTGGTTCCAACAGAGTCATTGTACAAATTAGAAAAAAGTACCTACATTGGGTTATGTACTTGGAAAAGGGTCCTTCCTTCTCAGCTTGGCAGGGAAGAAACCCACCTGCACCCCTGACTGAGAACTACAGTATAAGATAGGAACTTTGAGGAAAGGTGTTTCGCGAACTGTCTATTTTGTTTAAGTTTACCACCAGGCTGGGCACGGTGGCTCACAGCTGCAATCCCAGCACTTTGGGATGCCAAGGTGAGCGGATCACGAGGTCAGGGGTTCAAGACCAGCCTGACCAACATGGTGAAACCCTGTCTCTACCAAAAATACCAAAATGATCTGGGCGCGGTGGAGCACGCCTGTAATGCCAGCTACTCAGGAGACTGAGGCAGGAGAATTGCTTGAACCCAGGAGGCGGAGATTGCTGTGAGCCAAGATTACACTACTGCACTCCAGCCTGGGCAACAGAACGAGACTCCATCTCCAAAAAAAAAAAAAAAAATTTACAACTATTTCACCTCTGCAGATCAGAAGGAGGGGAAGAGTCTATTTGTCTCCCAGGCTGGAGTGCAGGAGCATAACATAGCTCACGGCAGCCTTGAATTCCTGGACTCAGGCAATCCTCTTGTCTCAGCCTCCCAAAGAGCCAAGATTAAAGGTGTGAGCCATGTGCCTGGCCCATATTTATCCCTTTTATAATGAAAATTAAGAAATGTGGCCAGGCGCGGTGGCTCACACCTGTAATCCGAGCACTGTGGGAGGCCGCAGCAGGTGGATCACCTGAGGTCAGGAGATCAAGACCAGCCTGACCAACATGGAGAAACCCCACCTCTACTAAAAATACAAAATTAGCAGGGTGTAGTGGCACATGCCTGTAACCCCAGGTACTTGAGAGGCTGAGGCAGAAGAATCACTAGAACCTGGGATGCGGAGGTTGAGGTGAGCCAAGATTATGCCATTGCACTCCAGCCTGGGCATTTAGCGAAATTCCATCTCAAAAGAAGAAAAAAACAAAACAAAACTGCAGAACAAAAAAACACATGTTCCAAAATTCCCCTCAAGGCTAAGCCACAGTCTTCTGGCAAAAAAGAAATTAAGGATCATGGGAGGACAAGACTGGTTCAGCATCACCTATAGTATTTCAGGTCATAAAGGCCTAGTGGAGCACTCCTTTATAATCACCACGCCTTCAAAAACTGATGCTGATACTCTCTCTTAAGACTCAATGACTGCACATTAACAGCGTCTTATCAGCAAATTAATAGCTTATTAATCTCGTTGTAATGAATGAGTCTTACACTTCATTCATGCCAGCAATATCATTATCTGATATAATTCTGGTCTAACTAGTCTTTTTACGTCTCAAAATGAAATGTCCCTGGATTCTAAATGGTACAAAATAGGATCATTTCAAAAGATATAACTGTGATACTAAAAGAAAAAGCCACAGGGAAAGGGACAAAGTGAGAGCAAACAACTTGCCTTGTCCCCAGTGGCAGTGAAAGTTGTTCAAGTGAATCACCTCTTCATTGCTGTTTCCCTCTGCCATTTTCAAACGCAGACCTGCACATACGGGACTGCTAATATCTAAACATGGTGACCATCTGTTTCAAAAGGTCTGAAAAGGAAGCAAAGAGGAACAGTAAGAAAGAGGGAGTATCAAAACTCTTGCCATGTATCTGGCCAGGGAACATCTGAAGCTTATGTTGAAAACATTCCTTGAGAAAACATATCCAAGGAAGTGGGTCAAAAAAAAAACAAACCCATAAAAACTCAAAACATATGGCATTAAAACATATTTTTTAAATACACATATTAAAAAGACAAAGTACAGACAGATAATTCACATCTTGATACAAATATGCTAACAAAGAAATGG